AGTCGCCGCCGAAAGGGGTTGCTCAAGAACATCCCTCAGCACCGGGAGCCCAACGGACACGTTAGCGCAAGGTGTCATTGTCATCCACTGAGCACATCAGTGGGTTGGCCCCAAACTCCTAGCTGCTGAAAGCAACTTGACACTGCGTCTCACACTCGGCCAACGGTGTGCAGGATGCCCAGATCTAGGTATGCTTGGACAACCCTGCGGGTAAGGCACTGAAGCTCTACTATTTCTTTGGCCAAGTCTGACTGAACACCGCTCAGTAGGCCCTACTGCATCTTTCATAACCAACCTGCCATTTGTCACAAGCAGCTTTGGTCCTGCAATCCCATAGGGAAAGAAACCGCGCCGGAATTCGGAACCGCTTTATTTCTGCATCAATCCGGCTTTTGACACAACTAGAAGCAACACAGTATAAATGACAAGGACAAATCTGGCGAGACACACCAAACACGCTGACATGAATATCAGAAACATATACAAACACGTCCTTTGACAAGCAGCACTGAAAGCAGATCAAAGATCATCAAAGCATCAAAGACATACAAAGACTCTACTCGACCGAAACAACCGTGGGAGCCGTGACAAAACGGGAAACCACTACGGATATGTCAAAAGTCATGAGCAATGTGCCAAGCATATCTAAGCCGCATAGTCAAGCATCTTTAAGCACTGGAAAGGCTCACAATTGCTCACACATGCTGTGTGTGACATGCTGAGTGTCATCAACAAAAAAGAAGGACAAGAAATGAAAAGGATGGAAAACGATCGAAATGGCCTCCCCTCCTTGCAGTACCAAGAGCTGAGAGAGTCTGACAGTCGCCGCCGAAAGGGGTTGCTCAAGAACATCCCTCAGCACCGGGAGCCCAACGGACACGTTAGCGCAAGGTGTCATTGTCATCCACTGAGCACATCAGTGGGTTGGCCCCAAACTCCTGCTGAAAGCAACTTGACACTGCGCCTCACACCCGGCCAACGGTGTGCAGGATGCCCAACCCTACGGGTAAGGCACTGAAGCTCGGCCCAAGCCTGCGGGAAGTTCGGTCGCATCTGTCCCATGTTCTGTGGCATTCCGCCCATGCCCATTGCAGCCTGGTGAGAAATTGGATCAAATTGGACTGTGTAAAAAAAAGATGTAAAGAGAATAACAGTGGATCTTCTTCTTTGAAACAAATGTTATGTGTTGGGCCTCCTTGAGATTGGGTGTTATAAAAAAACATTATGTAATGTTAGATGTAAATATCATATTATAACATTAATGAAAAAATCATATTATAACATATAACATATCATATAACATTATATAACATGTTAATGTTAGATAATCTATGAAGTAATATGTGTCAAAACAAGTCAAAATCCGGCATTTTGTGGTGTTTGTATGCCACCACCAAGGTGCGCAATCAGAAACTTCTGGATTCAACCTCCGATGAAAGTGATGTTGAATAACTCAGGTTATGATATTTTGAATAACCTACATCATGCTTAATAAATGTTCAGAATATGAAAAGCATTGAAAAGCACATTTGTAACGATCTACAGAATTCTACAGATATGGATTGGTGGTATGGGTAGTTCAACCTACATGGGGTCAAAATACGATGAAATCGCAAAGATGAATTGTGATTGAAGCCCATCCCCTCTGTGGCCCTTATGCAGCCGAGCTTAAACACTTTGTATGAAGTGTATGACGGTGTCATCCTGCTTCTATGATTCTGTGCAGATTCCTTATGTCCCTCTGGTCTTGAGTGAACTGAAACAAAACTTCGTTCATGCTTGCTTTGGATAGCTTTGGATCAGAGCTGATATGTCAACTTTTCACAGCAGCTTCCATTTTTTCAATGGCCATCAATCATCACGCTTTTGAAAAAAATGGATCAGACATGAGGGCAGGAAGGGCGCAATCCACAACCCTATCCGAACTAAACATGGCTGGGAAATCCCCGATTTTTTTGAGTGGCCATAGCTGGGAAAATCATGGCAGGCCTGCGTCATTTTTGAGACCAGAGAGCATCACTCTCTAAACTCCCATGAAATCGCCCATGAAATCGCCATGTTTGTTGGTTAAATCACTAGATGGCTAAGTCATGGATGCGGGGTCAACTGATACTGCCTAGTCTGGCTAAGATACAGTGATTCCCACTAATCATCAACCACCAGGGGTAGATCGCAGCCAATGCTCAAGTAGCCCCTAGCAGCTCTATACTCCCACTATATCCCGATGATATGTCCATGATCTCCCCATTATATCCCTATAAATCCTATACATCCCTATTGTTCTTGGTTTAGCGAAGCAATGGCTTTCCGTTTTGGACAGAAAAAAACTGGCCTGCTGCTGCATCGGGTTCGGCCGTTGCTGTAGGGGCTGGGAGGCCTGAAAACCACAGTGAAACTCAGCAGTCAAACGTTAATCTAAAAATATCTAGAGGGGATCCCCCCAAACAATAGAGGATATGATATATTGATATATAGAGTACAATTTTTCGATGTCCTATTCTTATCTCTTTATATATCTTTATCAGTATCACATAGAATATATGAAAAGAGTAGAAAAGCTATATACTTCCTACCTCTTTGGGATCACAGTAAAAGAAAACAAGTGCTTTTCGTTCAGTCGGCCGGCCACTCAGCCTCTGCACGAAGTCCTTGTATAGTCATCATTTCAAACAAAGGCCAGAATCCCCTAAAGTTAACGAAGATTCTAAGGAATCGAAGGATAGGATAAAAAAAATGGAATGGTAAGGATTTTGGAAAGCCAACAAAACCACCGCAGGATTTTGATGGTGATCCTGTCCCAGGAACTTCTTGATCAACATGCAGCTGGTAGAACGGTGCAATTTTTTGGACCCTGACTGCTCAACAAAACCTGGGGACATGGTGGGAGCCAGCCATGAAACACTGGAGTGTGAACAAGACTTGGGACGATCTCACCAAATGTTGGAGAATCTCTGTGACTAGTGATTTCCCTTTTTTTATGGGGGGGGGTAAGTTTGATATTCATTGATATTCCCATGTTCATTGGAGTTCAAGCAACTTTTTACACAGTGAGAATATTGCGGAAATTCATGATACCCCCAGGTTCTTCTCGCTGATATGTAGCAACCTCAAGAAAGATGCCCAAGTTAGCAACTTCATCCCATTCTATAAATATACATATAATTACATATAGGAAGATAGAGAGTGATAAATTGAACCTGGTGTGTATATATATACTGTATATATATTATATCATATTATATGATATATTATATTATATTTTATATTAAATTATATTATATTGTATTATATTATATTATATTATATTATATATTATTTATTAAATTTTATATTTTATATTATATTATATTATATTACATTATATTATTATATTATATTATATTTTAGTTTATTATATTATATTATATTTTAGTTTATTATATTATATTATATTTTATATTATATTATATTATATATCATATTATATTATATTATATTGTATTATATGATATTATAGTTTAGTTTATTATATTATCTTATATTTTATATTATATTATATTATATATTATATTATATTATATTATATATTATATTATATTATATTGTATTATATTATACTATATATTATCATATTACATTATATTGTATTATATTATACTATATTTTATTATATTATATTATATTGTATTATATTATATTATATAATACTATATTTTATTATATTATATTATATTATATTATAAAAAAAAAATATATATTATATTATATTATATTACATTATATTATTATATTATATTATATTTTAGTTTGTTATATTATATTATATTTTATATTATATTATATTATACTAGATTTTATTATATTATATATATATTATATTATATTATATTATATTGTATTATATATTTTACTAAATTTTATTATATTATATTATATTGTATTATATTATACTATATTTTATTATATTATATTATATTATATTTTATTATATTATATTATATTGTATTATATTATACTATATTTTATTATATTATATTATATTATATTTTTTATATTATTTTATATTATTTTATATTGTATTATATTATACTATATTTTATTATATTATATTGTATTATTTTTTATTATATTATATTATATTGTATTATATTATACTATATTTTATTATATTATATTGTATTATTTTTTATTATATTATATTATATTGTATTATATTATACTATATTTTTTATATTATATATTATATTATATTATATTTTATTATATTATATTATGTTATATTAAGTTATATTATATTATGTGTATATATATATATTACAAATTGAAGCTAAACCACCTTTGGGGGTTCCTGTATCCCCAGCGAAATTTCCTGCCGTGTCCGCCTCTTGCAGGAAGGCCGTCCAGGTCTTTAGCTCCTCAAAGCGCAACGGGAGGACGGATGTTTTATGATTCCTAAGGGTTAATTACTAAGGTTGGAAGCCGCATATAAAAGGGACTGAGGTTACTAGTGTATTACTAAGGCTAAGGGTTTTTATGATTATCTGATGCGAAACTTCACAATAATTATGTATGGGCGAATTGGCATCTATTATTGGTGTTTTGGAGGGTTAGTTAAATCCCGATGTGTCTTATGTTTTTGGGATACCATAGATGGAAATCTTGTTTGCCTGTCTCTGAAGATGAGGAAATGAGCCCCCAAACGGCCATAGTCATAGGGAGAATGATGATGAACCAGTGGAATTGGGGATATTCGATGAGACACACCCATATACTTTCAGAGTTGTCTCATTCAAAGAATAGCTTACTTTGGTAATCAAACAGGTAATCAAACAGAGCTTCCAAGAGAATGCTTCTTAGCCATACCCATCATACCGCTTTTTGTCACCTAACGGCTGACGACAGCCCAGGTCCCCCAGGTCCCCCAGGTCCCCCAGGTCCCCCAGGTCCCCCCAGGTCCCCCCAGGACCCCCAGGACCCCCAGGACCCCCAGGACCCCCAGGTCCTCAGGTGGAAATCGGGGGAAAGTGCCATTTCCAGAGGAATACTCCGAAAATTGTGTCACGATCTGCGGCCAATGGAGCAGATCGTTTGGGATGGACAATTCCCATCCGAACATCTGCCTTGAAAAAACTGTCAGAAGACATGTCACTTGGAAAATTCTGGCAAGGATGGTAGATTTCGCAGCAGGGCAGGTTTCCCCAGAAAAGAACGTTTAAAAAGCGCTGTGATTGGTTGCGGTTTTCGTTCCAAAGAGCAAAATCATCCACAGCGGGACTAGAACGAAGAAATACGATCAAACATCGGGGCATTATTCTCCTACGCAAATGGATGCAGGTGGTGCTTCTGAAAGTTGTACAAACCCCAAGTCCTCCAGAGTTTCATTGTCTGTCCGTGAAAACCATGGAAACATCCTGGTTGAGACCAAGAAAGGGCCCCATCTACGCAAGATCAACACAGTGAATTTGTGTCCTGGGACAAGCACAACCACACAAGTTTGAGAAACCACCACACCATCCGCTAAAGACAAGATGATTTAAATCCTAAATTGCAATATCCAGTTGGGTGATCCTTCAACTTCTAGTCACATCATCATCATCATCATCATCATCCTAATCCGTGGCCTGACAAACAAGCTCATCATCGCTGGGCTGTTGCACCAGCCTCGGTCAGGGTGAAAGGGCCATAAGTGGAGGTCAGGTGTGTGAGAATTGAACACTTCCAAGACTAGATTAGTATAATTTCTATGCTCTGTTTGCAAGATTCATCAAGATTGCCAAATATTTGGTTGGTTCAACACATCGCAATGATGATAATCAAAATCAACATATTGACTCCACATCCACGCTGGCAGTTACCCTCCAACAAAATCCAGGCATGTCTTTTCCCGTTGTCTGAAATCAGAAAATTTACGGCAGGTTCCATATATATATAGCATGATATTCTGTCCATATCGCCCGTAAAATTGATCAACATCATTAGAACGTGGAATAGGAAACCCATTCCAAACACCAAAAAAAAGGACGAAAAATGACCCGAATTTCCACCTGGAGAGGGCAGAGACGAAGGTGGCCATCTGTGAGGGTGAGAACTCCATGTACCTCTGGACCCAACTGGAGGTTATGGTAGGTAAATGATATGTATGATTAAATGTATATGCAATTCATATGATTATATGTGTGTTACAAACAATATATGTATTCTATACATATTATCATATACACATATATATATATATGTATGTATGTATAATATGTGTATCATATAGGATATGTGTATTATATATATATATATGTGTATTATACATACATATGTATTATATAAATGTAGTGTGTATATATATATGTATACACGTGTATGTATGTTATATATATATGGGTATGTCTTATATATGTAGTGGGCATCAAGGATTAAATCAGCCATCAGCCGTCCCATTGATACCATGCAAACCTTTATTTTTGTGTATCAAGTCTTTGCTAATTATTGGACATGACCCGTAAATCAAGGTGTCCCATGTATCGTCCCATGTATGAAGGATCAGGCTCATCCACATCTATGATGATGCGTGTCATATTTTGGTGTTGAACCATCCCATATTATGAAGTTTAAAGATAGGGTACCTAAATCCACTGATTGATTACCGTTATCCCTATGAAATTGGCCATTTCAGGGGTAGGCCCCATTTTTGGGGTAGCTCAAGGTTGACTCAGGCTACACAAGCGTGCATCCTGCGGCCGCTGCACCCTGCCTCTTCTTCGCTTGCTGACCCAACTGGAAGGCATACTGGTGCGCACGCGGATGCGTTTTCACCTGCGTTGGTCATGTCACCTAAGTTTACTTGTTTATCATCATTAAAATAACCTTTTCACTTGGTTTGTGAGCCCCTTCCCAGCATCATTAAAATAGCCATTTGGGGGTACAGTATATACAACCTGAAACAGACCATTTTGGAGTGACACTTTAGAGTGACGTCCCCATGACGCAGGCATGCTGGTTCGCTACAGTCCCACTTGTTCTGTCGGCAACCTCATGCTTCACCTTGGAGGGGGGTTCATGACATTCACATATACATGTATATATATGCATATATTACATTACATGACATGATATTACATTACATTATATTATATCATATTGTAATGTGTATATATATATATATACATATATATTATATTATGTAGACTGCAGGAACCCCCAGAAAAAATGTTGTTTCCAGTGTTTCCAGGATGCTGAACTGTGCGATGATGTTTCCCAACTGTTCCATCCTTTTGGGGGTTGCTATACAGAAACCCCCCCAAAAACAAAATGTTAAAAAAGAAATGATGTTAAAAAATGTTTTTTTGAACCATTTCTTTAAAACATGTAGAAAAAAAATGTGTTAAAAGAAATGGTTCAAAAAAAAACACGGGTGTCCTCTCCATTTTCCCCCCATTCATCAGAAATCGGGCCTCTTCCAGCGCAGCCAAAGCCCACTGAACGTTGGCGGCCTGGCAAAATTAAAGATCTGTGCCAAACGTCGAGTCGTAAAACAATACCCTCTGGTAAACTAACATAGCTATTGAAAATGGCCATTTATAGCGGAATTTCCCATTAAAAATGGTGATTTTCCATAGTTATGTTAGTTTACCAGAGGGTAACTATAATTCACTGTTAGACTGTTATAGATATGTAATAATTATAGTTATATACAACTATCATGAAAATATAGAACTATTATATCTCACTCTATACCTTATAGATCACAATCCTCATTTCAGACAGAACACTAAAACACTACGGGAAAAAATACTACTTAAGACGACAATAATCCCCACAAAATAATATACAAAAAATGGCTATGGGCTATGGGTTTAAAACCCTGCTAGCCTGGTGAACACCATTTTTTGGCTAGTAAATGGATGTTCATCCATTCCAAATATAGCATGATAGGTTTGATAGACAGCCACATAACTATGGAAATTCACCATTTTTATGGGGAAATCCACTATTTCTATGGCCATTTTCAATCGTTTTTTGTATGTTTACCAATCCGGGTATCAACTGTCACCGGACACGGCGGACACGGGACGATCTCCTCATCGGCCGCGAGTTCTTCAGCTGGGATGTGGACTAAGCGATCAATCAAGGCGCGCGTCAGCGACCTGGTGGTCGATCATCGCTGGTGATAGGTGACCATAATAGTCATTGACTTATCTATTAATGGCTATAGATAATTGAAAATTGGTGTCAATAATGACCGTAATCTTATCCATAATAGAGATCTCATGATATCTCCATCACAGTCTTAACCATAACCATTCATAATCTTGTGGACTGGTAATATTATAAATGAAAATATTTTTTAAAAAAAAAATAAGGAGCATAACCATAATATATCATCTCAGGATTGATGATGGAGTGATGGGTGATATGCTCCGTATGAGTGATTGGCGATGACTATGATTATAATTGTATAATCATAATGAATTGGTGATTGGTTAGAATCATAAGAATATAAAAAGATCCATAGTTATGAATTGGTGATCTTTCCATGATAGTTGGATCTTTCCATGAGTAAAATGTATATATGTACACATTACACCCCAATAGTTGGACTATAGTTGGGATGTAAATAAGATCACCAGAATGAAATGAGTTGGGAACACAGCACAATAAAACTTGTCAAGTTGAAGCAGTTCGAAGTTTTTTCGCAGTGCTTCGCAGTTCACCACTTTGTGCAGTGATACTTTGCCCTTCGGCTAGCCACTTGCCAGGCCAATTAGTGGGGCCCTACCTCTGCTCCTCTATACACAACTCACCCAACCCATGGTGCACATGTCCCCCATGGTTCACCAACGAGAGGAGGTGGAGGACATGACAGATTTATTTAAAAAACAATGGCTATATCATGTTATAGACATGTGTTCGCGTTTCACGTTGATACTGTAGTGATTTCCTACATGAGAGATTGTTGAACATCTGGAAAGCCACGTTGAACCTTACCATGTCCTGGTCGTTTAAATTGTGTACAATACATGTATATATATATATATGGATAGATATTATATATATACACAGTATATATATAGACAATAATAATATGTATATATAATATTCATACATATATACATATATACAATATTCATAGATATATATATATATATACAATATTTACATATATATACATATACAATACTCATATATATATAATATATATATATATACAATATATATATATATACAAAATTCAGAAATATATATATATATAATATTTATATATATATACATATATAATATATTTATATATATATATGACCCCATTGTCTGGATGAAGCCGCATGGCTATCAAAAAAACCTGGTACAACCTGCAAAAATCACAGCTCCTGAGCTCCCACTGAGCTCCCAGACCCCGATTCTGTGGCCTGCAGGTTGCCCTGCTTCTTGTCGTGCTGCCGACAAAGCCCCAACTGGTACAGAGCCGTCACCACCTATAGAGCTTCAGAGCTAGACCCTGGGACCCCAAGGTTTGTTTAAAACATGTTGGGAAACAATGGGATTGAATTTCTTATTGGAACATGTTGGAGATCTTTATAGGATCTTCATTTTCAATTCCTTTCATGTCCTTTCCCTGTTTTGATATGACTGGGATCTCACATGAAAAGAGTGTTAAGACTGTCTCCAACGTCCACTTAAAAAAAAACATGTGCCTTCAGGCTCTCGAGGTACAGTACCAAACTTATGGACCCTTGGATGCCCCTTGGTGTGTCCCCTTTTCCACTTGTTTCGCCTGATGTGAGTCTGAAAATGCTGGATTTTACCCCAAATGGCTGTTTCCAAGTTTCCAATCCATGGGGGTAGCCCGAAAAAAAATCAATTTATACGGATTTTTCATGAAATAAACATCAATAAACCATCCAGCGATTGGGGTATCCCCATTTTTCTGGAAACCTCCATGGTCCAAGGCATCCAAGGCCCCGCGCGTGCCGCTTCATGAAGTGCTGGCCGTACCTCGATGCTTGCGCGCAGTCGGATTGGACCCCATGGCGCAGCGCTGCTCAGACATTCCCATCCATTCGGAAAATCACAAAATAGGTTGTACTTGGTTAGGTTCAATGACTAATAATGACTAATACTTACTAATGCCAACAACAACAACAACAACAACAGACAACAGACAACAGACAACAACAACAACAACAACAACAACAACAGACAACAACAGAAACAACAACAACAACAACAGACAACAGACAACAGACAACAGACAACAACAACAACAGCAACAACAACAACAACAACAGACAACAGACAACAGACAACAGACAACAACAGAAACAACAACAACAACAACAACAACAACAACAACAACAACAAGAACGACAACGACAACGACAACGACAACAACAACGACAACAACAACAGACAACAACAACAACAACAACAACAACAACAACAACAACAACAACGACAACAACAACAGACGACAACAACAACAACAACGACAACGACAACAACAACAGACGACAACAACAACAACAACAACAACAGACAACAACAACAACAACAACAGACGACAACAACAACAACAACAGACAACAACAACAACAACAACAAACTCCAGTTCCACGATTGGCATTGACAAATTTCAAATTGCAGTTCTGTGTTCATGCTCTGACAAAGGGCTCTGAAATTGGATGAGTTCAAAATCAAAATCGCCAGTGTCTACAACGATAGGATTTGGCCAACGTGGCCATCTACCGGCGTGTTCTAACTTGAGCTCGAAACACAATGCATGTCAACATCAAAAATCCCCACCAAAAAAACAAAAACATAGAAAACATAGTCAAAAAAACTAACAATATGGAGGTTTCTTAAATGGGCTATCCCCAAGTCACCATGGGTTTCAATACTATCTTGGATGATTTGGAGGACCATGACTTAGGCAACCCACATATCTCCATATTATCCAAATCAATGGTTACATCACTTTCCCATTACATCACTATTTCCAATGGTGAAATACCATGGAAACCAACTCACCATGGAATCCAAATCACCACATAAAAAAAACCTCGCACCATGGACTTCGAGTTGTGACTACCATCTGGTTACTTAACAGTTTGCCATGGAAAATCACCATTTTCAATAGGTAAACCATCTATTTCTATGGGCATTTTCCATGGCTATGTTGGTCATAACCAGAGGGTAAATCTGGTGGGGCACTGCTCGATGATTTCCTGCATCCTCGCAGGGGAGTTGCATTGTCGGATCATGTCCTGGCAACGTCTCTCAGCGCTGCGCCGGTGCGAAAAGGTGAGGGCCCTACCGGGTAGATCTTACCAAAGAGAAAATTTAAGCAACAAAAATGGGGATTGATCGTTGATTTATGGTTGATGTATAGTTGATTGATGTTGCGAAGTTGCTGCAACTAACTAGGTTAACCAGGGTTTATGGTGAGTGTAACTATAGTTCCATGGGGTTATAAACCTAGTTGTTTTCAGTGAGGGGTCCCACCAGCTGCCACAGACCAACCATCTGTGATGTTTGGATGCGGAACGCGGAACATTGTAGATACCCTCTGGTAATTTTGTTACATAGCGATGGAAAATCACCATGTTTACATATGTTTACTAGGTAAATCATCGAACTAAATGGGCTATTGTTTCCATAGCTATGTTAAATTACCAGAGGGTATCACATACATCGTGGACAACAAACATGGGGAATGAATCCCCCTCGACGACGTAGATAATTTTGTCATTGAACATGTGAATGTCCCATTGTCGGTCACCAAGGTTCATTCGTATGTACAACAACGGTGCAGTGCCGCATATATATTTTCATGATGTCTTCTATTCATAGGTATAAACATCAACCATCATCAACCATCATCAACCATCATCAACCATCACCAACCATCATCAACCATCATCAACCATCAACCATCAACCATCATCAACCATCATCAACCATCATCAACCATCATCAACCATCATCAACCATCAACCATCATCAACCATCATCAACCATCATCAACCATCAACCATCAACCATCATCAACCATCATCAACCATCAACCATCATCAACCATCAACCATCAACCATCATCAACCATCATCAACCATCAACCATCAACCATCATCAACCATCAACCATCATCAACCATCAACCATCAACCATCAACCATCATCAACCATCAACCATCATCAACCATCAACCATCATCAACCATCATCAACCATCCTCAACCATCATCAACCATCAACCATCATCAACCATCAACCATCAACCATCAATCATCAACCATCAACCATCATCAACCATCAACCATCATCAACCATCATCAACCATCATCAACCATCAACCCCATGTACACCATTGAACTTCAACACAGAAGCCATTTTTGGGGCTGAAAATGTGTTGCTCCCTGGCCTCAATGTTCTGCTTCGAGACCGCAGGATCTGTATCCTAAGTAACGCGGATCTTATAATCATTGTATATCTCAACATATGATACAGTAATAGATGGATAATCCATGGATAATCCAATAATTGCGGATATTAATAGTATATTACTATATCCATGTGATATAATCCATATATTACCATATCCGCATTGAAGTAGATATAGTAATATATCATACAATGCTAGTTAGTATATTATTATGATTTATTATGTATATGTTAACTATAACAGATGTTTTTTGGTTGCAATCATGATTATGATGACGTAACTGACATGTGCCATGGTCAAAACGTGCTACAGTACATCGGGGGTGTTCGAGGGACGACTGGAGTATGCTCCATGTCAACATCTTCAAAGATTTTGTTTATATTACACATTGAAGAAAAACACATCTATCTACACTTTAATCTTTACAGTTCTTTACATCTATTTACATTTCTGTTCACATGTATTTACATTCATTTACTCTCAAGAATGCACTTGAACAGATTCCCCTTACGTCATAAGCGAACCATCAAGGCACAAACGTCACGATACAACGTCTCAGGCTGCTGCTCTCGGAGCCTGACTCGGAGGAGATGAGCTCCTGCAAGATGGAATGATAAATCTATGAAGGATATCTATGGGATATCTCTAGGGATACAATGGGAAATATTGGGAAATTCTATGTATATAATAATATATGTATTGTATGATATTACATATAAATAATATAATATATAAGATATAATATATATACATATAATTATAAAATATAATATAATATAATAAAATACAATAAAATATAATATAGTATAATATAATATATATATATATTTATATATATATATATGTATACAAATATAATATGCAACATAGATATAATATAATATAATATAATATAATATAATATAATATAATATATATATAATATATTTAATATAATATATATATATAATATATTTAATATATATAATATAATATAATATAATATAATATAATAAATTATAATATATATATATTATATATAAATATAATATTTATAAAAATATAATATATATTATATTTTTTATATTATATATATATTATATTATATATATAGCTATACAAAATTAAATAAATTTAAAGATTACATCTGTTCGATGATGTTTTGTGATAGATGTTTTTAATCTTCACCCAACATCCCTTGTTTCCGTGTTTCCGAGATCATCCCAAATCTGAGGACTTCGCCTGCAGCTTCCATCTGTAACACGATACTGTTCATACAGGGGATCATGCAGTCAAATCTAATAAGAAATCTCATGATTTCTGTGTGGTTGATGATCCCCCAATGAGAAAAATGGGCGGAGCCTTTGGATCTGGCCCAGTTGACAATTCTCCTCTGAGGCATGGTGTTGGAGTTGTAGTCGTAGCCACTATACCTGGTCTTCACAACTCGTCCTTTGTTTCCCTCGTCCCATGACTCTTAGCCAGAGGGGCCAGTTTACTATGATCATCTGCCGATTGTTTGAGGGACATGGCTTAGGACATGGTCGTCCTGATTAGTCTCGGTTTTTGAACCGAACTTGAAGGCTCTGAATAGGAGTGCTAAATGTTGTATTTACCATTCCCAGTCATACCTATAAACACATTTCATATTTGTACATATGAATTGTCGTTACATATCATGATATATAATTTTCTATCATGAAACGTCTATATATATACATATATATGTATACATCCTAAATAGATCTCTATAGTCCTAGATACTCACATTGCGTCGAGGCACTGCATGTTGTTGTTCTCGTACCAAGCACCTCGGATCGAGCTGGAGATGGGAACTGTTGAAGGTGCCTTAAACCGTTTGATAACGCTTCTGTGTATATATATATAGTACTGTATAATGTATACATGTATAATATATAATATCATGTGTATATATATATATATGTGTACATTATACTAAATATTTTGTACTAAATATATCATGCTTTGTATTATACTATATATATTTACTATATAGATTATACTAAAGATTTTACTACTATAAAGATGATACTATCGATTTTACTATTATATAGAATGTACTGCTATATAGACTGTACTGCTATAAAGAATATACACATAAGACTCTACTAATATATATATACACTATTATACTTTATTTTTAGTTATACTATGCATATTAGTGCTATACCAAATATATGGTTGTACTACTGTATATGTATTTGTTAAACTATAAATATGTTATTTTATATACATATGACATATGATATGTCGTATTATATATGTATGTGTGCTTTATTACAAATAGATATGATATGCTGCATTATATATATATCATGATGTGTTAATAATATATGTTGTATAGTGTATGTATGTATGTATGTATGTGTGTGTCTGCATGTATGTATGTCTGCATGTATGTCTGCATGTATGTATGTATGTATGTATGTATGTATGTATGTATGTATGCATCTATGTATGTATGTATGCATCTATGTATCTATGTATCTATGTATCTATGTATCTATTTATCTATGTATCTATGAATCTATGTATCTATGTATCTATGTATGCATGTATGTATGTATGTATGTGTAAGTGTGTAAGTGTGTAATTATGTAATTATGTAATTATGTAAGTATGTAACTATGTAACTATGTAATTATGTAATTATGTATGATTCCTGAAATTATGGCTAGTGTCCAAAACAAATCTTCCAACATCCACTTGAAGTGATGCCCGTGGTATCGAAGAACTGTGGCTGGCACTGTAGTCCCACATTCCTTCCTCAGAGCCAGATGCGGGTGGTCTCGACATTGCCAACCAAACATAGCCATCAAAATATGGATTGAACCACCAAATAGCCACCAATCAACAAATTGATTTTTACCCTCTGGAAACTTCACAGCGTGCAGCCTAGCAGATCACCGTTTGTAATGGGTAAATCATCTACAACTAGGCCATGTTCATCCGTTTTCCATGTAGCAAAGTCTTAAAATACAGGAGGGTTCCCGGTTCCCAGTTGCCCAAATCACCCGATGGGCATCAAAAGTCCTCTAAGGCCAGCACTGCGGGGTTGGCCAACGACATATTTCGCGCCTGGTCACATGCGAACATCGAATGATAACATATGATAACGTCCATCGACATCTTCCGCCTTATCTTCAGTGGATCAAGTGTCCAGCTGCCATGTATGTATATATATATATATACATATATGTATGTGTTGCAGTAGAAATTCTTTGTTGCTAATCTAGAATCTAACTATATTTTCTATAAATCATTCTTCTAAAAATCTATAAATCTATATCAGATATCTACATCTTCAATAAATCTCAGGTTGTTTCTTCATATGGATCAGATTCTCCCAGTCTCCCCATTCCAATCGGTTCCAATCGCTTCCAATCGGCCAGGCCTGGGGGTGACCGGTCTTATTGAGCTCCACCTCAAAGAGAACGTCTTGCCCAACCTGGGGAAGATCCGTGGAGGAAAATTGATCATGGGTGATCATTAATAATACCATTATTACTGTTGTTGTTATTATATTATTATTATGATTATTATTATGGTTCTTACCATTATCTTTATGTTTATCATCATTATTGTTGGTATTATTAATCATTTATCATTGCTGTTTATACATAACATTAAAATTTGGAAGCAACAACAAAAAATGGATCGACGTCCTAGCTGTCCTAGCGCTGAACTTCAAGTCTTTTTTTCGTGGACATGTAGCTACAAGATGCTACAAGTACTGTTTTATGAAGGCAAACAACATGTGGATATAATGGGATATATACACCCAACAACGTGATCTTTGGGTGTGTCTGAAAATGCGGAAGCCCCCAATCCCTTCTAAACATGTTGAAGATTGTTTAAGGCTATTAGATGATGAACATGATGAAAATCAATGGGGTTTCAATGGGTTTCAGGTATCCTATTTTTCAAACAAAGCCTGATTGAGAAGATAAATTGTCCAAAAATGATGAATTTTTTCTGGACCCTTGGACCATTGATCTAGCCATAGAAGCCACGCTGGATCTGCCAAGATCCCCTGGGAAAAATCTCTGGGCTTCCCCCACCCACGCCCCTGATTCGTGCAGTTGGAACTTGTGCACGAAGACATCTCTGCCAAACAGCTGCATCGTCTCCTCTCCATGAAATTCCAATTGGTGCGGTGAAAATAGTTTAACCACACCAAAATCATTCAGAATTACCACACAATAATAACTCCAAATTAACCCAACATGACGGGGCAAATGACTCCAATCTGCGCTTGGAATCCACCAATCTCTGTGGTGCTTTATGGTGAAATCCAAGGTACCAACTGGTGATTTCACCTGACCGAGTTGAAATATTGGAAATCTTCACATCATTGACCACTAAGTCACTAAACATACCAAAAACCACTGGTTTTGAGCCTGGACATTGAACACATTTGAATCATTTGACCACTGGTTTTGAGCCTTTTTATGATCCAAAAACGGTCTGGTTTTAATCCCAGGTACCGGTCTCCCATGGTCTCCCCCTTTTAAAAATGCCCATGGCTCGATAGCCCAATGGCCCAATGGCCCGCTCTCCAGGCAGTCGATGAAGCCGAAACCTTTGGCTTCGCTGAAGGAACGGATGCGCCCTCTGTACCTCCGCTGAACCCGCTCCGTTCCCGGCGGAGGATCACTGAGGATCACTTCAACAATCCAACTGGTCATGGGAACAACGGAAAAATCATGGAGATGAAGGTTGAATAGGAGATATCTATGGGGATTGATAGTATGTATCTGGTTAGGTGGCGCAGTTCGAAGCCTCTTTTTCAAATATGCGTGGAACAATCTTCCAGGTAGGGATGGAAAACAAAACTGTTTGAAACTACATCCAACAACTAAGGGCACTACCACCAAAGATGAATGTTTGGTCGAAAATGACCCCGACATGTCACCTATCTGACACATTGGAGATGACTCCGCGGGGCACTGAGATTGAGACTGCATCCACTCAGGATAGACCTGGCTCCATCGGGAGAAGCCACAAATCCAGGAAAATCCACCAGTGAGTTCGAGGATTTTCCCATTCAAACCCTCCATAGGACCGTCACTTGAGAGCCTTGATTCGCTCATGAAGTCTAGGTCGAATCATGACAAATCCATCCAAAAATAGTTCTATTGAAATTAACACAAACATGCATTCACAAGAACAACACATAAAACAGTGATATATGGATACTATATATATGATATATATATATATATATCATATATATATATCATATATATCATATATACCATATATACCATATATATATATATATCATATATATATATCATATATACCATATATATATATGTATATATATATATTTGAAGACAGTGGAGCATGCGAAGCAGCCTTTTTGACTGCACACCCAAGGCCCACTTTGGGCCAGACCACTAGCAGTCCGCAGTGGTTTTGATTCCCAATTGAAGTTGCGATTTCAGCCGGTTTGGACACACCAATTCACATCGCACCTTCTCTATCGGCTGAAATTAAAAGCAAAATTGATGCGTCTTGCATCGAGAAACCTTTCTCGGATAAGGACCACATTTCACCATACAAGATTTTTCTCAGGTAGGAGGGATTCATCCGTTTCGTTAAACTGTCAGAAATCATCCTACTCCCTTCAATCCAACGAACCTGACCCTGGGTTTTCCTACAATCGTTCTTGAACACGGTTATGTCGATGGCTGTTCTTTTGTCTTCTATATGTGAAGCCGTGTTGCGACACTTGTTCACCGTGTCATAGAGCGACTTGTTGTCGGTGATGGCGATGAAGGGAGTCCGGCCAATCTCCTGTTCCCACGTACCACGCTCGAGCTTGACTCCTCTCGTTTCTGTAAGTAGGGCTCGAAGTAGGTGAAGAGAGCCGATGCCTTGTATCATAGCTTGGCACTCTGCAGAGAGCGTATTCACGGTGCATCTTCTCACCTTGTAACTCTTCCAGGTAACTATGGAGATGGCAAACGGTTGTTCCTCGGTCTCCATACGGCCATCGTAGAAGAAGGTGATGTAGCCTCCTTGGCTTCCCAGATTTTGATTCTGGATAAACTTCTCACATATTTGCTTCCTCTCCTTAGCTGGTAGTTTCTGCTTTGGGAACACGGTTTTTCCAGTCCAGGGGCCGTCTCCAAAAGGTCGTTGACTGTCTCTGTTGTTCCAGCTGTCCTCCAGTTTGTTGCCTTCTTCTGTGATAGTCCATCTCTCATCACCGATCTCATAAAGGTCAGGGCCGCCTGGATCACCGCCGGGATGAAAGAGTATCCTCCTGGGGGTTCGGTGTATTCGAACCCAGCTGTTTGGCTCTTCAACCCAATAATCCTGTTCTTCTGGTTGGTCTTGATAGGGTCCTCGGACATTTCCCCAGGAGGCATCTGTTACGGTTCCAACCCGAAGATGTTCTGGTGGTATCGGGTAGACCCTGATGCCGAGCTCAGCATGTAGTAGAGCCTCACGAGCCACGGCATTGGCCTCCAGCATATCTTGAACATGAGGGTGAGGCATACACTGCTGAAGTAGGGCGACACGTCCCGCCAGATCAGGCCGTGTTTCTTTTGAGAGCCAGGCCAGAGCTCCAAGCAATCCTCGAAGCTGTGTCACTTCAGCTTCGGTACAAAGGGAGAATTTTCTTTTCTTCCTGTCCATTGTCATTGGAATTGGTTTGACCTTTGCCTTCGTGTAAAGGGGCTGATTCATCAGGATGCTTCCGTCCGATGACACGGTGATTTGTTTGCCCACGAAGCGTCCATCTCCTTTGGAAAACTTCCCAAGCTTGTACCTTTGGTTCAGCTGCTCCATTCGTTTCCAGTGCTCGGAGTTTCCACCATGTAGAAGGTCATCGGTTGCCGCTGCCACTATTCCTTGTAGTTGCCGATGTTGGTTAAAGAGCATGAACACGCACGGGTCAGTAGAACTCTGTTCGTAGCCAAGGTCCTCCGTGAGCACTCTGGTCAAGTGTGAGAACCATTGGAAGGGTCCATCGAGTAGTCCATAGCAGCATTTTCGAAGCCTCAGTAGTTGTCGGCTGTTGACTCCAGGAAGTCCTTCAGGAGGTAGTTCAGCATATATCTCTCGTACCAGCGGATCTCCACTATGAAAGGCCTGGGTGAAGTCCAAGTAGCCGGGTACCCATCGTAAACTGCTGAGAAGTTGAAGGACAAAGACCACGCTATCTCTTGAAACCTGTGGTGTCGTTACTTCGAGGTATTCAGAGTTTTCTTCACTGAAACCCTTCATCACGTGTCGGGCCTTGGCCTTCTTTGGGTTCTCGGGCTCATCCAGGATATCAATTTGTTCTGTGATCGCGGCAGGCACGTCCTCAGGCTCGATAGGTTTTTCGGTGAGGACATATCTAGATTTGACTATCTTGTCCCCCTTCGTTCTTCTAACATGTTCGGACTCTTCTGCATCAAGGACCTCGTAGGCACCGGTCTCGATGTTGTTACGAACCTCCTTTTGGATAGCTTTCATGAACTTCTCCTTGATCTCCGTCCCAAGCTGCTTGAAGCTGATCTCCTTTTTCATCTTGTTCTGCATGGCCTTCTCAATCGTCTGGTGGAGGACCTCTAGGAATTCAGCCTTCAATCTTTTTGCAGAAGGTTCCTCATTCTCCTCATTCGATTCCATCTCTTCCGCACTTCTCGTAGTTCCTCTCGAATCCATGTTCTCGTCCTCCGGCTCTTCAGACACGTCGTGCTCTTCAGTCTCGCTCCTTCTCACCTGGGAGTCGGCCTTGTCGTCGGTCAGCTCGGGGTCGAGGACCTCGTCATTCTGCATCTCGGAAAACGGCGGTAAAATTACTCCGAACTCGGCGACGTTGGGCTGTGGCTCCTCTGGGTTCTGCTCCTCCGTATCAAGTTCCTCTGGATCCAGCTGAAAGGTGGTCGTCCCAGTCCACTGGGGGTAGTTGATCCTACCCTTTTCTTCAACATTCCAAGTATCATGTACTTCTTTTGCTTCTCCAGTATCTCGGGTGACCATCATTGTGCGTCGTGGAAATTGGATCCGGGTGATGTCAACGGGACAATCCATGTGGGCTTCTCGAGGATGGAACAGTTGTACTCTTGGAAGTCGATGAACTCGGATTAAAAGTAGACTGGCCGGGTCATACCTCCATTCATCAGATGGGACTCCTCGAGGCACCACTTGTTCGGGTTTAATCTTCCCGGTGAGTCGGGTCTTTGGAATGACTTCGGTCTCGGCCTCAATGGAGGGTATCTCCGGCTTGTCCTCAGGGATCTCGAGCTTGGTCAAGTCGATGAAGCCACGTCGTGGAGCTCGTTGGATATCATCCCGGGTCTGGGCAATGTCCTCAATCCATTGGGAAAGTGAAAACCTCTCTTCCTCCGATGCGTGGCGTAGATGTTCCGGGGCAGCCTTTACCACATAGCCTCTGTAGACGACCCAGATGGAATTCGGAGGTGATGTCAATACGACCCTAGCGGGTCCTCTCCAGTATTCTGGCCGATCCTTGCGTTTCAAGTCCATGCCTTTCCGCCAGAAATAAACCATTTGACCCACCTCGAATTCTCGGACCGGTCGATGTCCAGCGTGTATTGAGTTCCTCAGGGCTTGGTTGCAATCGGCTTCATGGAACGCTTTTGCTGCAGCCAGTCTCATTGCCGCGGCTCTCTGGACTTGTACATCACCTCCACTCATTCCGCTAAGAGCGGCCCAATCATTGCCTCCGCCGGTCATGAGGCCTCCAGGAACTCTCGGTGTGTATCCCAAGACCCGTTGTATGGGACTGTAGCCTGACTTGTTGGCTAAACGGTTGCATGTCATCATGGTGATGTCGATCAGCTCCATCCATTCTGCCTCATTTTGGCAAGCATATTGCATCATAGTTTTGGACAGCACCTCCTTGAACTGTTTGCCCGCCCGCTCTGTGATGCTCCTCTGGGTAGGCATCTCCAATGCACTCGGTTCTATGTAGGTTGCATCCATTTCTGCGCCGATCTCAAAAGCTCCTTGGAATTCTCGCCCCAAGTCAGTCATCAACCTCTCGGGTGGTCCAAAAAGTCGGACCCATCGTAGGTATGCCCGTCGAGCTTCTCCAGGAGTATGTCCATGTAGTGGAACCACCATTTGAAACCTTGATGCCCAACATACGATGTTGAGCGCATACCCCTTACTTGTTCCCTAGGATGCTTTACGAAGCATTTTATAGAGAAAATTGGCTATAAAATGGTCCTCCGTCAGCCAGCATATAGACAGCAAGTGGGAACCCTCTATGAAATGACCTCTCCGTCATCTCTATGAAATGCTTCTCCGCAACAACCCAGTCTTTCCGCCTTTCCACCAACGCGCGCGCGCGCGTTAAACGCGCGCGCGCGCGTTGGCGGAACCCCGACTCGACAAACGCCAGCGAGCCGAGGATTCAGCCGGAAGTGTGGAGACACAACGGGGAGCAGGAAAGGGGAGACACAATTGGAGAAAATCAGTGGGGAAAATGATGCAAAATGAAAAATGTCGCTTTTGTCAACCATAGTGAATGTTTTCCCAAAAAAAACTACCAACAAAGCCATTTGTGGTACTTATTTTTTGACGGTAACATTTTGCAAAGAATCCCTCCTATAAAATGCATCATCCATCTGCAACATCTTGCACCTCTCTATCATCTTTGATGCTGGGAGAGAAGCTCTCTATAAAATGATAAAATAGGGAGCTCTGGAGGGGCATTTTATAGACGACCAAGCGAGTTCTCTATAAAATGGGTCCCGGAACAGCATTTTATAGAGTCAAAGCATCGGGTATTTGAGCGCCATACGAGTCTTGTTGTCAACTGTTGGAAGCCACACGGTGTCGATGCCCACTACCTGATTGAAGTGCCACTCCCGGGCGGTGCTGCTGCTCTAGGGGCAAAAAGCTTCTGGTGTTGCTGGCATACGGCACACTCGAGCTCCTTCGCGATTTTCACCGCATCGGGATGTGCCCCTGCGTCCTTCAGGATCCGGGCTAGCTTGTCGTTGCCTGGATGCCCCAAACCTTCATGGGCTCGACGTACCAATTGTTTCAGGGAAAAGGGCTTCTCTCGTGGCAACCTCTTATAGATCTGCTCCTCGTCCTCGTCGATGTTGTCGCCCTCCTCAGGGATGTTGTCTCCTCTCTCCTCTCGCTCCGCCGCAAGGATCTCCGGCTCGATGTTGTCATACTCAGGCTGGTACTGCATCTCAGTGAGGAAGTTGTAGTAGACCTGTTGTTCCCGTGCCAAAAGCTGGGAGTCAAAGAACCGGACGGCCAGGTTCGTTTTGGAGAGCTGTTTCCGATAGGCTTTCAGGATCGTGTCTATCAAAGCCTGTGGATAGCGTTGAGCTTGTCGGGATCTGGAGCCTCCGGCATCACTTCCAAGTATCAGCTCGTGCTCATGGGAACCGTCGCAAGTTTGGCCAAGTGCCTCGGCGATCGCCTCCGAATTCGTACACCATCCAGTGGGCTTCTTGTAGAACTTGCCATTGAGGGCCCGAAGTCCGAAACAACATTGATCACCTCTTGCCAGAAAAATGCTGTCCTTCAGCATAAGTCGTTGGAGTTCTGGTTCTTCCCAAGCCTTAGATGTGAGAGGGTGTTCGAAGACAAAAATACCTCCGTACGACATAACCGTCTCAGCGATCTCTTCACCAAACCTTAGCAAAACCTTAGCCTCACAAAGTTTTTGGAATACGAATCGTGCATGAGCTTGTCCCCTTCTCCGATTTCGTTTTTGATTCATGTTTTGCATGATGGAGAACATGGTACATGGTGGTGAGATAACGACGAGTCCTGGCTTGACATCTTGAACATACCTGCGAACCTCCCGCCTAGCCCCAAGTTTGAGCAAATCGTTTCCTAATTCCAAATCAAACGCTTGTCCAGGGATCAATCTATGTTTGGGGGAATCCTTGATGAAACGACCAGGATTGAACACTTCAGCAACTACCTTGGCTTGTTTTACGTCCTTATCCAAGACTCCTGCAAGACAGTTGAATTGTTTCCTGTCCTTTGGAACGGAACAGGACTGTACACCGCAGCAACTCGCCAATTTGGCTAGGCCGGTTTGTTCAGACTCTTCTGAACTCTGTGCAAGCAAACTCATAACTTCCGACCAGACTCCATGAGCTCGGTCCAGAGACGCCTCCATTTGGCGTTCCAGCCTTGCTATCTGTTTGCTATGGCTACCTTCTAGGAGTTGCATCAGCTCTGTCTCTAGTTCGGGCGGCTCTTCGATCCTGAGCTCTGTCCGCGGCCTTGACGCCACTGGAGGAAGGCCTTCAGCTCCGCCTCGGTCTCCGCATCGATGGTTGCCGGTGTCGAAGAAGTCGATGAAGTGGCCGTCCTCTTCTGGTGCATCTCGTCGATCTCCTCCTCTGTCCTCTTGCGGTCGACCACCATGGTGTTGCATTGACGGCAGCGCTCCTTGATCACGAAGGCATTGGTCCCGGTTCTGACCGTGTCTGTGTGTGGGCATGTTCTCGGGTCGTTCAGACGTTGTGGTCGGCTGGACGACATGGTTCCTGTTGATCTGCCCTTGCTGGTCCGGCTGCTGTAAGTTGTAGCCGACTCCTGACTGCGGGACCTCACTGGGGATTCTTCCTTCCATTCTGGCTGGTAACTGCACCAGACAAAGGTCTTGCACTGATTGGCCCGGCTCTCCGGGCATCTCCAGAAGACTCGGCCGAGATTCGGCCCTTCCTTCTTGGTGACCCATAGATGGCAAGCCCGTCCGTGTTGACATAGAGGAGGTTCTCCACATTTCTCGATCTGGTACTGCGTGAGGTAGTGCTCCACATTGGTCATGGCCGAACTCGTCGTGCTCGGAGCATGGCTGTGAGTCGGAGATGGAGGTTCCGACACCAGCTGGAAACTCCGCAGGCTCTCCAGGTCCGACATCTCGTTCATCATCTCGCTCACGGTGTCGTCCATCTCGATGTGCTTGTTCTTCCAGACGCTGAAGGGCTTGTTGCGGCTGGTGAGGTCCACCTTGGCAAAGACCAAGCGCATCAGCATTGTTGTCACTCGGCACAGCAGGAAGAGCAGCTTCCCGACGATCCGTTGCCACGACAGAGTCGAGGAATTGTTGCCCTCGTTCACCTCGGAGCGGCTCCTCTTGGCTCGATCTTCGGGCACCATGGCTACTGGGGAACGGCTTGGAGTCGTCAGAGCAGCGTTCGGGGGAACTAGGTTTCGAGCCGGAAGGTGCTTCAGATTCGTCTCCGGCTGCATGCTCAGTTCTCAAAACCTCAAACTCTTCAAAATTTTGTTTCTTCCGAATCTCATTCTGAGCCTGTTTCAATTTCTCCAGTTGCTGTTTGTTAAAATTAGCCAAAGGGATTCTCAGCGCCCCGGTGGGTCCTATGTGACATTTCACGGAGAACCCAAGTTGTCGAAACTCGGCTCTAAGGTCATGGCTAGGATCTAAGTGCAAAACAGTCCGGCATGACAACAAAAATGGCAAAGAAATAAGAAATGGCGCTTTCTCGGAATTCTCCCCGGTGAAGATGGCGGGTTTCAAAACGGAACCTTGTTTGCCCAAACTCGTAGGGATGGTCGCCACATGAGAGGTAGTGGATTTTCCATGAACGCTGCGGAAATTGAACTCCTGCTTCAACCTTCCCACTTGTAGTTCATCAGGAAGTCCCTCTTGAAGTTTATACAAAGTCTCACTGCCAATTGCCATCCTCTGACATCCCGTGTCTATGGTTCCGCACAGGGTTTCTTCAGGGTTGGAAAGTTGGGATACAGATGACTTCCTACCGTTTTCACTCCACAGAATCTCCCTACTACCTGAGTTTTCAACCTCAACCGAAACACCACCAAAACCATTAGAATCACCACACCAACACGCCGAATCAATCTTGCGGCCCTTATACTGGAAAGAAGATTCAGAGTTCAGATCAAAAATTGGGTCCGTTGCGGTCTGGCCCATGTCGCTCTGTACAGCAGCTACGTCCTCTACCTTCACTCCAGTTGCCTTTGGCACCGGATCTGCTACGGCATCTCCATGCTCAGCAGTTTCTCCTGGGACATGCGGTTCAAGCAAGCCGCAGAAGATAGCTTCTTCTGACTCCAAGAAGAGGGTTTCCTTGGCCGGCTTGTTCTTGGGGCACTCGGGGTCCTTGTGCCAATGCCCAATTTGCTGACACTTGGTGCAGCGTGTGCGGGACTTGACTTCTTCGAGCGACATTCTATAGTTTCCACCACGAAGTCGCTCTGTGGCATGTAGTTGATTGCCTCCTCGAGCTTGACCTCCCTGGACATTGGAGTACCCTGGCTTCCGGTCCTTCCAGTTTCCAAAACCTCTGGCAAGCTCCTTAGCCTTTTTCGTCTTCAGGCTTTGAGTGAAGGTTCGCTTCTGAGACTTCTGTCCCTGCAGCATGGTGTTGAGAATCTCAGCAGCCTCATGTTCCTCCAGCACATCGTCCTCTTCCAAGGCCGTCTCATCGAAGTTGAAGTTCTCATCGTCCTGCAGCTCGTTCAGCGCCTCCTCCACCATGTAGAGCTCGTCGTCAATGTCCTCGGTGTCCTCGATGTAGTGCATACCCGCTGTCTTCGAAGATGCTCCACCTGACCTCTTGTCCTTGTCCAGACCGATCTGACTGGCCTGGAGTTTCATCTCGGACTTTCTCGCCCAGATCTTGATCTCATTCGGCAGAATCGAGCCCTTCGTAAAGCTCAGAAGGTTCTTGATGTCCTGGTCCGTCAGCGCCAAGGCGTTGATGAGGAGGAAGCCCAAGTAGCGATCAGGTAGATCGACAGAGTGCTCACGCACCTTCCTAAGAGATTCCTCCCATCGTGCGAAGAACACCCTGAGATCTTCGTCCTTGTGTCTCTTGAAGTGGTACGTCAGCTTCGACAACGAAGCCAAGAGGTCTTCCTCCTTGTCGTCCCCGAACATCTCTGCCGTATCCATGAGGTCCAACAGCCTATGACCGTTTCGGTCATCCTGGAGCCAGGCAGCATCCCTGGCAAGGTGTTTCAGGGCCTGGAAGGCCTGACCTGACAACCGTTGCAGTATCAGTGGGCCTTGGGTCTTCGGGCGAGCCCTGGTTGTAGCGATCCACAACCTCGCTTTGATCAACCAGTCTTGGAATGACGGTTGAACGCCATCCCATTCCGGCGGCTGAGTGCCACCACCTTTGCCCGTTCGGGCAACACTCTCATCATCGTCATCACTGTCGCGATCATCTCGACGACGACGTCGATCGCGATCACCATCGCCTCGAACTCGGCCACGACGTTGTGCCCGTTCTCGAAGCCACTGTCGAAACTCATCGGAGTCAAAACCGTCAGACGTAGGCTCTTCACGTCCTTGTTCACCAACTGGATTAGCTCCCGTACCTGCTGGAGCCTCATCATCCAAACTGCCGTGCGACGACGGAACACCAGCGCCAACATTCGACATGGCGCCCTGGAGCTTATGCTCCGCTACCACTGAAGACAGTGGAGCATGCGAAGCAGCCTTTTTGACTGCACACCCAAGGCCCACTTTGGGCCAGACCACTAGCAGTCCGCAGTGGTTTTGATTCCCAATTGAAGTTGCGATTTCAGCCGGTTTGGACACACCAATTCACAATATTATATCATATATATATATTATATCACATATATATATTATATCATATATATATGATATAATAAATATATATATATATGATATAATAAATATATATATATGATATATGTATTATCACATATATATATATATACCATATGTATATTATATATATAACTAAGAAACGGGTTCGAAAAAACAAAACACATAAATCGTAAAGTCAGATTTTTCCATTCAGAATTTCTCTTTTGGTCACCCGCCTCCGGGCTTTTCCGCGACTCTCTGGAGTTGTGGAACGCCGCATTGAGCTGCTCTTGCAGCTCCTGCCACAAGGATTTCATTTTTTTTGCTCATTTGAGGATATAATATGATGGTATATATAACTACTAAGCAACAGGATTTCAAGAAAAAATCTGTTCATATGAGGATATTTCATATGATAGAATGGTATATATAACTTATATAACCACTAAATATATATATATATATATGTTTTTTTACATGGGAAGTTAACATCACCGCGAATTTCGGGATTCTTATGGGTATACCATGGAAATATAACGGGATATAGTGCACCATAATGATATGGGATATCTGGAATATATCTGCCCCTTGGGATAGCTCTTTTCTAAAGGCACCGGTATAGGGGGTATAGCAGGGCCATGCTATGTAAGGCTATGTATATAACCATAATATATGGGAATTGTACGGATCAAATATGGGGATGTCTGATGAGATTTTTTTTAAAAAAAAGCATCTAGTCCGGCAACATCTGATGAGTTCAAGTTGTCTGAAAATGGGGAAAACAACCAATCTGGGGGGGGTATTACCCTCCGGTAAACATACAAAAAACGATGAACAATCACCATTTTAATCATTTTATAGCTGGGTAATGAAAAAACTATTTCGACTGGGCGTTTTTTTTTCAATAGCTTTTTGTATGTTTACCAGAGACAAGTATGGACATCTCACCATCTCCCGATGGGTATATCAGGAAAATCGGACTCAAGAGACCATGGCGCATACTGCGAGCCCCAATACATGTATATATTTATGATATGTATTTCTATAAATATAAGATATGTATATCTAGAATATATATATATATTTAAGTATATATATATATTCATAATTATGTATATTGTTTATATCAAATATGATCAACAGCAAAATAGTGACCCACTAGTACTTGTTCCATCTTTCCGGGATCTGGCTTTAGCTGTTGGATTATGGATTGATCTTGACAGAAGCAGAGTAATTCAATGAACGGTTAGTAAACATCAAGGTACATCAACGTTTCGCATATCAATATGATATTATACAACATTCAATGTGTATATATATATATTTATTTATGATATTTTTTGTTGGTGGTTCGTCTTGCAATCAGGTAACATAGCCCCGTGGCCCTGGCTCCTCAGGCGGAGACCTATGTGTTTTTGCTTGACATCTGCATACAACATGTGCACCATGTTTCTCCAGAGAACAACCCAACAAAAACCGCCAAAACCACGAAAGACGGTCGGCTCCTCCGGGCTCTGTTTCCGTGACCTCAGATTGAGGTCGGGGCGGCGAGCGATTTGTGACTGATCTGATGGAAAATGGAAATACAACAAATATGTTAACCATGGTCAAATATATGTTAATATGATAATGTGGTTAATATGATTTAATATCTGGTTAATAGGTGCTTAACAATCGTGAACGATGGATAATAATTGATAATAATGGAAATACAGTGGTTAATAATGGTGAACAATTGATAATGGATACTCAATGGGATATTTCATGGGATGTACCAGATGTACGCTCTGGCGCACGAAGCTCCATCGAACGGACAAGGGGATTTCGCAGCTAGCCACGTTTGAGTACCGAAGGGTAACCAATGGATCTTTATATAATAACAGAAAGGTAACTAACCATATGGATGCAACTGATAATAGAACGGTTGATCCATCTAGTTAGACATATTTGATATGCCTAAATCTTTGGTAACTCAAACAGATGGTCTTGACCAAGGGCAAAATGCCCACCTATGAAGATCTGCGCGACGGTGAGACAGACCCTGACGTCTGTCGAAAGAAAAAATCACACGTGGGATTCTCACGATTTCAGGGACCCTGAGACATCAAATGATACCCTCTGGTTATGACTCACATAGCCATGGTATAGATGGCCCATAGAAATAGATGGTTTACCTATTAATAGCATGGTGATTTTCCATGGCTATGTTAAACAGCCAAATGGTAAGGCCTTGTACTTGAGAATAATTTTAGAGGGTGCCCATGGATAACCATGGGAAGACCAGTGGATGATCATTGAAACCACCATGATTTTATTGTGAACTATTTTCCTCTGCTCGGCTTGGTGCTTCCGTTTTTCCACATGTTTCAACCAAAGACCATATTCTCGGAATTATGTAATATAATGTAATATGCATATATAGTATAATAGATCCCATTGAATCCCTCATTTTCATATCCCATTGAATCTCCAGCTTCAATGGTTACGTCACCTCCTTAAGTGTCCAACTGTGCACCCAAGGAACTCTCTGGAGTTCACCAAAACTTCGTTGATCTTCCTCTGGAGGCTTGAACCTGGGGCTGGAACGATAGTTGGCACATGGGGATTTTTGACTCGTTGGAAATGGTGATTTAGTGCGATTAAGAAAGGAATATGGGTATGGGTAAATACCTATAGATACATTTTTAGTGGGATGAACATCCATTTACCAGCTATTTTGATGTTCACCAGGGGTACAAGGTTTTGACACACTGCCATATATAACCACGATTTTTTTGCATACTAAAACTGGTGAAAGTTGCCCGCTGCGGAATCAAACATGGCTGGAGAATCCAAAAAATCAAGGTGGTTTCAATGAAAACAAAAATCTATGAATGGTGGATGATCATTTGCCATCATTGATTACCAAAGGGGAACCATCAAACATGAAGATTCAACTCGGAAAATTTGGGATATAGCGTTGGTTTAAGCACAATAATGGTGATGTGACCATTGAAAATTGGGAGTTCATGGGATATGAATATGAAATTCATTAAATGGAAATTCAATGGGATATATATAACATTATATAACCCAAAAATATAATCTTTGGCTGTCTGAAATGAGGATAAATAATGGGAGATACGACGCTCATGCATCAAATTTGGTGCTACCCTATTTTCTGTCAAACCATGACAAACCCATAAGTCTGTCATTTTCGCTGATATGTTTGATACATAGACTTAGGGTCCTAGAAACTGCTTGTTACTTCTTATTGCTGCAGCTGGCGCTGCAGCTGTTATTCTCAACATTTGTCAGTTCTATTCTCCAGAAGTCACTGTGTACAGATGGTGCAAACCATTTCAAATATATTTATATAGAACAATGTTGACAATGTTCGAATATAAAATCCATCAGGATATCGGCACTGCATTCACTGAAGCATTTGGGCCCCTTTGGGCTTGGGCACCTTTGAAAGCTTCCTCAAGGAGTTTGTTTTGAACAAAAAATGGTGAAAACTACAGCACCAGCTCAATAGATCTGATTCGAATTGATTGTTTGATTGAATCAACCAGATACATATTGCTTTCACAATGTGGATCTATATGGTGCATATCTGATTGATTGACTGATTGATTGATTGATTGATTGGTTGACTGATTGATTGTATCAAACTACTAGCCAGATACTTTTATATGGCTCAAAAATAAGGTGCCGTTCTGTGACCACATCAAGCAACTTCAGGGCAGAAGTAGCCGCTTCAGGAACAAGCTGATTGGAAATTATTCTACTGATTCAATCAATATGATATCATCTTGCATATCCCAGATACGAGATCACCATTGTGTATTATTCAAATCTGAATGGTCCTACCTAGACATGTATGGATATATAGAAAAAATGCCCCAAAGACGGAAGATATTATTCTATACCATTTGGTACAACCCCACTTCTATTTGGTTGCTTTTCGGAAAGCCGATTTTGATCGAAACAAATAGAAGATAAAAAATGTCAAGATAGTGCCAAAACCAGGGTCGGTTTTACGATTGCAAACAACTGATCAACTATAGTCACCAACCAACTTAAATTTTATGGATTATTTCCCCATATCTGATACCTTAAATCAATGGATTGGTTTAAAGGAAAATTTACAGGAAAACCCCCATATTTAATGGGAAAATCTATGGTTTCCTGTAGATTTTCCCTTAAACCAATCCATTGATTAAAAACTAAACAAAAAAAAAACTGTTGATGCTGAAGTCCCTGCTCACCTGAAGTCATAAAACACCACATGGATGTCATCTGACTGGGACCACTGGGACAAAAGGCTGTCGTCATCGCCGCTGCCACCCGTATCACCACCACCGTGGGCACCTGAAATCTTGTGCATGTACTGAATGATAGAATATGTATATACTGTATATGTATATAGATATATGATTATATATATATATGATAGATGTACGATAGAAATCTAATTACTAATAGAAATAAAAAAAGATATACTTGGTGAATATGATACTCATATGCTAAATGCTTACTAGATAAATTATAGATATATGAAAACATGTATAATTACACAGTATACACATCATACATATGTGTATATATATATATATATGATTATGTACTATCGATGTAAAACTTAATATCCAAAAGATATCAGATCTATTATATGTTTTTTATGTTTGATCGATACAGAATTGAATCAATATACAAATTATCTAATAGATATGCAGGTCAGTAGACTAGTAGGTATATATGTCAATATATATATATATGTGTGTATATACATATGTATATATATGTATATATATATATATGTATTATATGTAAATAAAGAATCATAAAGAATCCCATTATGGGATGGATGACCATAGCCCATCTACCATGCTTTGACCATGGCACATACACGTTTTTTTTGCCTGTGCCAGTTGTCCCACAGTGTCAAGTGCTGTTATGAGCAGCGTTCAGCCAAGCAAAACAATCAATAAATCTTGGCTGGGTAAATATAAATGCTATTCATACCGTTTTTCATTTCAGACAGCATATATGATATAATTTATATAATCATTACAGGATAACTATTGACAGTGATCATGAACAACTATTAACTATTGACAGTGATCATGAACAACTATTAACTATTGACAGTGATGTTTTCAGACTGGTTTTGTATAGACTGGGTATAATTTCAGACATTACAAAACACCAAGTTTTGTCCTGTCCGACACTGATCATACCCATGCCTGGAGCCCATAGGGCCATAGGGCCGATGTCATGTGCCGCATGAAAGGATTGAAACCACTAGTTGCCAACATTAACACATGGTTAAATAAAGCAGGAACATCAAATATTTGTATGTTCATAGGGCGGCTTGCAGTACTGATTTGTTAAGGCCCTTTAGCATCCTTTAGCCTTTTTTTAGGCCCAATGAATTCCCAACCAAAACCCTGAGGAAACCCAACAGGTTCTCAACAAATCCCACTGAACCAGGCACATCCAAGGGACTCCCAACTGATTCCCAAACAATTCCCAACAATTTCCTAAAAATTGGCTGCACCACCATCAAAAACCCAATAAAACCTAAGAAAGGCTAAGAAAAAAAACAAAATCCAAAAAATAGGGAAAAGAAACCCATTAAAACCTAGAAGAGTCCCATGTTTTTTTTGCTTTTTGGAGCTTGATTGGAGTTAAGTTGGGATTCTTCTGGGGGTGGCAGACAGCCCCCAATGCCATTCTAAGATCTGTGTCCACACATCACACGTAAAAATGTGTGTGTGTGCCACTGTTTTCTTGTCCACTCCAAAATTGCATGATTGCACTCTGGTAGTCAAACATGGTTTGCTGAAGAATCATCCGTTTTGTCAATTCAATTCGATGATGTTCCCACTTAATTGATCACTTAGTTCGGGGATTTCCCAGCCAACCATGTTTGTAGACTGTAGACGTTATAGCTGGTCATCATTGTTATCTATCCTATTGCTTTTACATACCATTGTATCGCATGATTGTCATTAGTGTCATTCCCAGCAACATCCCCACATATCCCCACTATCATCCCATTGTTTCCCACTATATCCCTGTATTATTCCAGATTGTTGGTTTATATCCAATACGGTCATCCTCCATTCATACTGAACACCCCTCCTGTAGATGATATCTCCATGTTTTTAATGTATCACATAATTATTGGTTATATGGTTATATATCTTTATATATTTACTAATATATCTAATTAAACATATAGTTATTTTCTTAGACATATAATATCATATAATCGTACATGTTTTAGTATAGTTGTATCCCATGAATTAATGATTGGCTACACATGTTAAGTTCATAGTAATAAGCAACCCGAATTAATCAACACCCACATTCCAAAAAATGTTTGGCCTACTTTGGGCTGGTCCCTCCCTATGAACAAATATTTTTCGCGACCCCCCTATCAAACAACACCCTGCTCAGAAATCCTAATTTTGTGGCAGGATATAATATTGCTTAATGGTTTTAATTGTGTTTTAATGGTTGAAAAATAGTCATGTCTTGAAGGGATGTCCAAAAAGCCCAATCTCACCATCTCCCACTGGTTGCGGGAGGTTGCCACAGAAAAGTCTCAACCCTTGGCAGGTTGGTTGTTTTTTCAATGACAAGCCCTAGTTTTTCAATTGGGTGGGGGCTACCTTCTGGGGGTGTTATTAAGACGAACTTGGCATTACGACCGTTGGCTATCAGCCAATCATTACCATGATAATTTGTCATGTCCCAAACACCCTCCAGCGACGTCCCAACCTGCGTCTGCTCCCACATTTTGGGCGTCTGCGCTGGCCTCAAAACAGCTGATTTTCACCGACATTCCCCGAAAGCCCCGGAGAAACGAAGGAGTTGCACCCGAAAAAAAGGGGATCTGATTTTAGCTTTCAAAAATGCTTTGTTTCTCTGAAACACATGCCAAAAAAAACAGCATAGCGATCCTTTCAACAAAGGATTCGCATTGCCGGAGTCTTCGCCGCCTGCTCCTCCTCCTTTGGAAGGAAGTCGGCCTTTAGCTCGCTTGTGGCAAGAGAAAGCCGCTGGCAATGTGTGATCTTTACATGGGATAATGGGTGAGTTGTCCCACATGATATATCTCTATATATAATTATATAAGTATAATTATATATCATTATATATATAATAATAATAATAATTTGATAAGTATGAATTTATGTATGAAACGATATGATAATTCACCAGGATTTGCCAGGTACTATCAAACTGAAATGCTCGTCCAAGCACAGAGTTCCAAAACATGGCCCACTTAAAGCAAACGGCTTCAAAGTTCGGCCAACCATGTGTAGTTACCAAGTGTATTTACCATGTTTTACCATATGCCATATGCATTTACCATATTTGTTTACATTGTTTTACCATGGTTTTACCATGGTTTTACCATGGTTTTACCATGGTTTACCATAATTCTGATCATTCCCCACATGATCCCACATGAATTTCTCACAAAACCTGCCTCTCCGGCTGACATGAGCGCCAGCTCGGCCTGCAGCCCCGAATCCGGAGGAATCCGGAGTCCCGGGGCCCATGGTTCGATGTGATTTCCAAGAAATGATGCTTAAAAGGGTCCCAACAAAAAATGAACATCACATGACATATCATGACATTACATTGAGATATCCTATAGAATCTATATATCATGATATATCTCCTAAAAGATTGTGGATCGATGATCCAAGATGATCAAAAAAAATGTCAGCTGAAAAGGATCTGTTTTTCCGGAGACCTCGGAGACCCGGCCAAGTTGGGTCACTTCGGAATCCTTCCAATGGATGATCTGTGATAATTTAAGATACCCTCTGGTGAACTAACATAGGAATAGAAAATTGCCATTGAAATAGTGGATTTTCCCATGAAAAATGGTGATTTTCCATTGCTATGTTAGTCCACCAGAGGGTAGCTATAGAGACCTTAATGATCCTGAATGCTGTGATTTAATCCAGAAGATCATTCCCTGGGTCTCAACTGCCTTCCCAAGGAGGGCAAACGAATGAAAAATGCGCGATCTGTGGCAGGGCGACCAAAATAATTCTTTTTACGTGACTCAATTTACATCAGAGATCATCAGAGTGCCTCAAGTTTTACATCAGAATTTCTATCCGTTGAACCCTTCGCAGAATTTCCCATGTTTTGTTCGTCTCCAGTTCCGTCTTTTTTTTTCTATATCTTTCTATCTGTTCATCGTGGAGGTTTGTTTGCTGATGCTTGCTCTGTTCTGAAGCGATGAAAAATCGGCCCAGTGCGTGACTTTGAGCCACAGAACATCAGCATTCAGCAGCAGCAACTGTTCATTTTGGGTCACCCAAGATGCGCGCCCAAAAGTGACCAATAAAAATGGGACAATGATCGCCATTGAAGAACCCTATGAGAGGACAACCTTTGATCAAGTTGACTTATGGCCGATCAATCTACTGATATCTACTGGACAATCTGAAGAATCTGCACAGCCTCTTTTGGACGGATAGACTCGGATAGACCTGGCCTGCAATTGGGAAAGTTTGCAGACTGACAAAACATCTGCAACTGGTTTGCAGAGATTCATCCAAATCATCAACAGGTTAACCTCCAACACGAAGTCATCTTCCAAGTTTTTTCTCACTTTTCGGCAGAGCCTCGCTCAACTTTGGAGCAAGGTCGATGGCAAGCAACTTCTTGGGGTTCGACTTTTCATGACTTTTCAATCGCGTCAAATCACCGTAAACTGATGAGCAAATGTTTCTCTTTTCAATAGTGTTCTCGACAGAACACAAGAAAAAACATGAAAAACACATTCAGAAAAGAATTGGAAAACTGGTTTCAGCAATTTCAGCATGTTGTTATTTGGTTATGGAAATGGATGGCTATTCCCCCAAATATGGTACCAAAAAATGCCCAAAAATAGAGACCCAACCCCACATCTCTGACCGGAAACCGCCTCCGAACCCGCAAGGTGTCGCTTTCCACAACGCTGGCATCCCAATAAACCAATCGGATGAGCGTGACGCCCGGAAAACGGCCGTGGGGACCCTTGAAGTTCAGATAAAAGATCCATCCTTGGGAAAGGCCTTTTTCGAAATCAACAAAACCATTAATTGTATATATAAATATGTATATATATATATATGTAATTGAATATAATAATATACTATAATAATTATATATATATATACTATATGAATATTAATCATATATGAATATCGATAATAGATTATAATAGCATATGCCATTGTCGTATATTCCCATACCTATATTGACTTGCATGAGCTATCATGAGCCGTTACAAGTACGCGTCCATAACTCACGTTCACGATTCATGCCATGTTTGTAGTTTCACTTCGCACAGGATCCGTAAAATCGCTTCAGGGATCCTCCCACATCCCTTCCCAGTGAGACAACCCCGCCGTCGAAGCCTTTCCTACACGGCCTTTCCTGCGGCTCGACTAGTCGTATCTGGCGCGTGAGGCAAAAGTTTCAGCGGCCTCATGCGCGAAGAAAGGGCAGTCATCGCTTTTGCTAAATCTGGGAATCTCATGGCGTAGTTAACTATTCTTCTTAGCTATGATTCACCACTATTAACCATGATTAAACTCTTCACTATTGAATAGCATCGTGCGATAGCGACATCCGCGGCGCCTTTGACGCCATTCCCAGAGCACCACCTGAGAACGGGCTGGGCATTGGAAAATGTCGCGAATCATGGGGATCTGGACCATCTGAAGCTTCGTTTGAAACCTCAGAAATTGTGCGAAATGGTGCTGCGTAGCAGGCTGGGTTTTCAAAAACACGCTGGTTGACAGGCTGGTTTACTAGTTCGGCAACTCATTTACCATGTAGACATTTAGATTATAGATTCGTTTCCAACAATCCAAAGGACTTGCCGCTTGGCAGAAAACACCAGGGCCACTCTTCATACACACTGGATGCTAGACTGCCAGACAAATGGATGTGTTTGAAAATGGGGTATACCCCCCCCCATTTTTAGTCATTACATATGAGGGAAAATCATGATAAACCACTGGATTTGGATATATATCCACTGTAAAAAAAACAACTCAAATCAGCAAACTGTATGACTCACTTGAAACCATGACCTATTATAGTCATAGATGATAACGGCAACGCCTAAAATCATTACGCCCCCAGTCATTCGCTGGTCATCCCTGATTGGAGCCTTCACCTGACACCCTTTTTTATCATTGGGGATCTTCCCAAATCTTGAAACAAAAACGTGTTTGAAACCACCTACCAAATCATTGGTATTCAGAATGATTATCTATACAGATCTATACAGTGTAATATATATATATATTATATATATAGTATATATATAATATATATATAATATATATATATATTATATACTATATATCTATATATTATATATATGTACACACACTGCATATATGTCCATCATATCTCCATTTTAGATGCTAAGTCATCTCCATTGCCGATGGTAACATCCACAGTGTCCCCATCACAGCGGCCTGTTCCCAGTCGAGTAGATCTCAACCTCCCCAGACCTCAGCCATTCTTGGGGAAGTTCGGCTGAAGCACATCTCTTCGGATGCGCTTTCTTGTGGTGTTTTTTCTCTGATTTTATGTTCCTTTTCTTGCCTTATGTCCTTATGTTTCCCTTCACGTGCTTTCTGTTTGTTTCTTCGTGTTTCTTCTTTCTTCTTCTGTTTTGCTTGTTGTTGCTGCTGTTGCTGTTGCTGTTGCTGTCGTTTCTTGGTTCTCCACTCTGGGATTGAAAATCGTGTAGCCCCAAATCCGGAGATTTTATCATCGTTTTCCCTAACCTACATTAGTTTGATTATTTTGGAAAGCACCCATTATTAATGCACATGTATATCATAGTATATACCATATTATATACCCCATTTTCAGACACACCCATCTGCATCATCTGCATCTGCCACCTTCGATGACCCCCACCTTCTTCCTCAAAGGATCGCAGGCGAGTTGAGGTCGTGATCTGACCAGCTCGTAGCTGGAAGATGCCAACCGTAGCTACAATGGTGATGTATATATATATATATAATGATGACTTGTGGAAAACACTGGTGATAGCTAAAATGGTTATGTATATATATATATATAATGATGACTTGTGGAAAACACTGGTGATAAATAGTGATAAATCATGGCAAACAATGATGATGTACCTGGAAATGTTGCCTATAAAATTGTGATTTTCTCGGTTGCTACGTTAAATAACCAAAGGGTAATATACCACCAACATATATCATGGTATATATGTATGACCAATCAAATGGGGAAATCTATCATGTGGTTGAGAAACTCAATTCCAGCTCCAACTGGCTCCACATGAAAAATAGGGAATATGGATACCCATAGCTGCAAACAGCTCACTCGGTTCACCACTGGATAGAAGGAATATCAATTGCCCACTTCGATTGCGAACCATCTGCAGCTGCAGAGTTTAATGGCAGGATTCAGAAATTCATCTTGAGTGGGCACCACATATCATTTGTTTCGTCGGGTTTTCTTCCAGCATGTTTTCAATCGTGTGAGCTGAGAATCACACATGCCCTTGAAGTCACATTGACACATGATAATTCTCTATTCTTGTGCACAGGTACGTCCAAAAACAGGGGATCCCCAAAAAAAACATATTCAACCCCGGCAGAAGAAAAGAAACGCGAGGATTCCAGGAAAATGCTCAATTTCAGAATGTGGTAAACCACCATCCTCAACAAAAACACAGAAATACGTGTTAAATTTAGCCACCCCCCAGTGGGGGGTTTAGGGTTTTGGGTTTACCACATCATCTTACACCATCTTACACCTATGATCATCCACAGTATGTCTTTACCCCAAAACAAACCTGCGTTTTCCCCTCCAATCTTGCGGATGTCCCCTCGACCGCCTCCCTTCCGCGACGGGGTAAGAGACCACCTGCATCATACAACATGGGAACGACATGGGGATATCATCGGAATGTCATATGGATATAGAATATTATAGAATATTATAGAATGATACAGTATATACCTTCCAGTAATTCAGGAAACATATCACCATTCAACATCATATATCAAATAATTAGTTTCTTAAACATAGAAAAAAATATTATATCACATATACATATACATCACATTGTATCACCATCTTTCCGGAAATGATCTATTTCACATCTTGGATCACCTCTGGTGCCACCTCTTGTACCACCTCTGGTGCCGCGCCTCGCACATCATCGCGGCAGTCCTGCAGAAAAAAGACAACGTGTAGATATGTGTAGCATACATATCATTGTACAATATTATATATATATATACAAAGATCTTCTTAGAATCCTATATAAGTAGGTTGAGAGACGTTCAAAAAATGTTGAACATGTCATGATCTTTGGTTGCATCATAAATTCAACGTGATTTGTGACCCGTTCAGTGCTGCACGAGAACGTTCTTGGCGGATGTTAGTGGGTCACACGGTCAGTCGGTATTCCCACCACCAGTTCGAGGTCCGTTAAGATCCTGGTACCCTCTGGTTATGACTAACATAGCCATGGAAAATCACCATTTTTAATAGGTAAACCATCTATAAATGGGCAATTTTCCATGGCTATGTTAAATAACCAGATGGCATATTGTTTTTCTGTCACCTGGAGTTGTCTCCCAAAAAAGTGATTAAGCTGATAAGTGTTGCTCCAAGAATGTTCATTGCAAGTGAGCACCATCAAATTCATAGGATCAACATTGCCCAGCAAATGGCACGATGGAGCGCATTGCTCTGTGGCAAGAAAGGAACAAAAAAAAAACATGGGTTGCTGTAATCTTCAAGTAACTGCAGCCGGAAGTCACATCAACACAGAAGAAATGCAATGGCGAAGGTTTGTGCGTAAACCCGACCGGAAGAGTTCGGCCAATTTGGGGATAGTTACCCAATCCTATCCATCACCTACAGTGACGTCGCGAAGTGAGGTCATTATAATTTGTCCAAATAGTATTGTTAAGTGTCACAATCTCAGGCTGGAAGGCCAAACGTCAAGTGTTTTCAAAAGCACAAGCAGTCTTCGAACCATTTTATATATTCCTTTATTCCCATTCAAGAAGCCTAAACTCCTATAAGCCATGATTAAGCCCCATTAAAATAACCTTTACACCCCATAAATGATTGTTACATTCCCGTTCAATCAGAAATCTTCCAAAACATTCCATGATATAATATATATATACATTAAATATATATATATATATTATAAGATATATAAGATATATATATATATATAATTAATATAATATATATATATATATATAATATAATATATATAATATTATAAATATAATATAATATATATAAAATATATCATATATAATATATACATATCATATCTCCTAAATTTCGCCATGAAATGACACCATTCCCAGCTGGGCCGGTCACCTCCATCATGGACCTCGCTGCCAGCTGTGCATCCGCCAGTACGCCCTTGGACACCCGCTTGGCGCGACGGTCCGCCGCCTGGAGAGCCGCTAAATAGATATGATCTAGAGTAATACATAGTGTACATAGTATACATATATATATGTATATATAATATAATATAATATAATATAATATAATATAATATATATATATATATATGAAATATATGTATAGCATATATATAATATCTGTATACAGATATATGCATAATTGTTTATAATCTATAATCATGTATATATACCAGGGGCTGATGACATGTGGAGTGAGAAAACGCACACCCCCTACAGACCGAAAAACATGTCATCTGTTCAATCCTAGGAGTGGTGTGGCCCAAAAAAAAGTCACATTTTCCGATAACATCTGTCCTTCAGTCAGGTTCGGCCATGATGCTGCCCACATGACATTATATATATAATATTATATAATATCTGTATGGCATGCATAAATGCAGTAGGTCTGCTTTTTCGATCTGTAAAGTGATCTTTGCGCGTGTGTAAATGACATGGACTTGCGAACATAGGACGCTCCATCAGGGCAAGCGATGACATCACATCATTCAGTGGATTGGTTGAAGGCAAAATCTGGAAACCATGGAATTGTCCCAATGGAATTTATAGGAGTCTCCTGTAAATTGACCCTTCAACCAATTCTGCAAAATTTGGTGGTTGGTTGATGTTGGTTGACATGCATTGATTTCACTAATTTTGAACCCATTGTGGTTGGTTAAACCACTATTTTGGTTGGTTACAACCAAATCATCCTCCATGTGCCAAAACCAATTATATATATATATACATACATAATATTATATATACATACATAATATCATATATACAAATATTATATAATATAGATAACATTATATAATTATATATAATTATATATAATAATTATATATAATTATATATAACTATATATACGTATATAATTATATACGTATGCGCACACACACACACGCCATATTTGGGGGAAGAACATCCATTAACCATCATTTACGAGCTAATTTGATATGAAAACCATGGCACCAGTGTTTGACTCAAGGCAAAATCATCCTCCATCAGCACCTCAGTGGTAGTGGGCTCCATCTCCAAATCGCGTGTCTCCTGGAAGTTTCAGACAACCCCCCTCCAGATATGGTTCACAGGGCCGGTTGAAAGCATTTTTCTTGGAAAGCATCACTTCTACCAGCCGACATATGCGGTAAAATGGGATCTGAAAATTTGCATAAATTTACAAAATTCTATCAACGACCATGGTTTCATAGGGATTTTGGCAGCAAAGCGAAGTTTACTGTCAGGGTTTCCTGCAAAATGTCCCTTTCACTGGTGACTGTCGGGGCCAAATTGATGTACATATATCATACATTGGATGCTTTGGTTATGATTACACCATTTCAATCTATTGCACTCCAACGGGAGTCTGATTTTTCCTGCACTCTGGTGGAGTTCGGGAAGATATTTGATCAGATCTGGAAGATCCCAATTGGTACTGGGAAGTGGCATGTCTTCGCCACCTTTCAGACCGCCAGGTTAACACTGGCATCCGTCCATTTTTTGTTAGGGATTCTTCCGTCTAGGCACAGCCTGGGGTTGTCAACTCCTGAAATCAGCACATCTGGGGTAAAGTTCCCTTCCTTATTCCCAACTTATTTGTTGAGAAGCCCTTTGAAATCGTTCTAAGTTGCAAAATTTAACGGAGGTCCGCGTTGTGGCCATTTCCCATAGACTATAGACCCTCGCGGGTCTCATCTCGGATTTGCTCCCAGAAATTCCCCAAGTAGTTCATTTCCCATGGGAAAAAAAGTCACCTCCAAGGTCTCTGAGAGGATGGACGACAGTACCCGTCCATTCTTCGCACCTGGGTTTTTGGACTCGACACGACAATTTTTCCACGACTCGATCTACCAATTGAATCCGATTCAATGGATTTCTTGGGAAAGTGAGAGGAAACAGCAAGTTGACATCCATCTGTTCCATCTACGTCTTTGTTTTTTCACAAATGAATTACTGTACTACACTGAGTACTCATCAAACCCATCGAACCCCAGTGACCAGCCACTGCCACGTTCACGCACACGAACTTGTTCAAGATCATCAATGCGTTGACCCAACCTAGTGCTGCAAATTACCAGGATCTCTGGTCTGTACTGCCATGCGCTGTGAGAGAGTTAAGCAATCTTCAAACCAGGATTCCGAAGGAAAAAGGCAAACATATCAAACATCAACATCACATTCTTAAGGACGTTCACTAACTGATTACTAGTTTCGCATTTCCATATGTCCATACTTCAATGACCAGTTCATCTTTCCATCAACATCACCAGGATCGCCCTCCGGCAATTTGGCACAGCTATGGAAAACGACCCATAGCTAGTTCGATGATTTGCCTACCACATGGTGATGTTCCATCGCAACCTGTGAGATTACCCGTGTGTAGAGTCCCAAAACCATGGAAAAATGGTTATTTGATGGCTCTTTGAAGGAATTATATGGAATTATAACCATTAAATAACCATTGAATGTGATGTTCCTCATCATGTTCCCACCATGATTTGGGTCTTTGATGGCTCTTTGATGGTGAAATAATCCACCCTCCCAAGGTCCCAAGGCGCGCCCCACCAAGGGCGGCGCCTTTGATCCGTGATCCATAGCTGCTCATCCAGAGCAGCAATGGCAGCAGACCTCGCTGGCCGTGCATTCCCTACGGTGGATGGTTGCGAAATCCTGCACCAGTTGATAGGTGGTCTATCCCATTATTTATAAGGTTTCAACCATTCAAGGTGATGCAGGATTTCTTCCATCCACAGTATGTCAATGGATTGGTGAAAGTGAAAATCAAAAAAAACGGATTTTCATCAGGAAACCAAGGTTTTTACCACCAATTTTAGGGGGCTTTCCTGCAGATTTACCCGCAAACCAATCCAATGACTATGGTGTGTACTCTGATATGATATACAAACCGATGCTGTGGGCAAAATGGGCCGTGTCTAACTTCAGAATGCCCAGAGAGTCATATCATATCGACACATAATTATGGGAATGTGGATACATCATGGGGTATATAACCAATGGAATATTATCAGGAATCATCCCAAGGCATGGTAATCAAGAGAGCAACTGACCGCAGAAAACAGACCATTGGGACGCCAGGCTCCCGGTTCAAGGCGAGTGTAGTTTCAGCCTAGACAGGCGAATGTAGTTCACCACTGCAACGCCACATGTTGAGCTGAAATGATGAAACATGATGAAACATGTTGAAACATGTTGAAACATGTTGAAACATGTGATGTTTTTTACCTAAAAGATGTGACTTGACCTGTTTTCTCAAATAAAAAACCTTCCTTCCATGACACACGGGTCACGGGGTCGTCTGAGTACCATGAGCCTATGGTCCATCAATGAACATCTAAAATGTAGTTGTCATGTAATTATTATTTATCATATATATATATACATATGTATATATATACATATGTATATATATACATATATACATATACATATACATATACATATATATTGTTCCACAACATTCTCCAAATATATCCAAATTATATCCAGGTATCCCATTTTTTAAAAATTGTATTCCCAATGACGTCCCCATGACATCCCAAGCTGCCCTCGCGCAAGCGCACCCGAAGATCAGACACCAAACGCTGCTGCATGGCTACCAGATCATCACTCAAGCGCGCCTGCGGTGTTTTTGAGGTGATGAATGGGTTTTTTTCATGGTAATTATTGTACAAAATCCAGTAAAATCCATTAATATCCATTAAAATCCATTAAAATCCCTTGTCTTCCCATGGGTTGATTCAGTTAAGATTCAGTGAAGATTCCCATTTTGAACGTTGATCCCTATGGAATCCTATTGAATTCCCATTCAGGGATGGGTCACAAAATGTCAGCTGTATGGGACCACAGATATGACCACGGCCTTGGGGTACCATGTATAAATTGTGGCTAACCCCAAAAGGTGGAAAACATGAAAACACCTTATTTTACATTATTTGACTTGTCGATCTTTTGGTTGCTACGGATTTGGTCTTTACTTTGGCCGTTCCCACTCAAGTAGAGAGATACTTTGGAACCTCCGATCAGATTGAAGGGCTTCGAATCGAGTAGGACTTTAGGACTTAAATGTACAGTATTTCTTGAATAGGCCGGTCACCAGACCCTGAGCAACTCCTATTTTCAATCAACGCCAAAGGGGTCCCAGGACCAGTGTGGCCGAAGCTTTCGTCAACCTCCAGGGTCAGCAGCACCGAGTTCGCCACCTCCGTCCCGTTGTTCCCGTTGTTTCCGTCGTGGCCGATTCGCATCTCCAGGCGTGAATGGGGCGGTTCACCAATGTGGGATGAGGCTCCAAACCAAGCTGCCCCACATCTCCTGGGTTTGGCAATGGAAGTTTGAACCCAAAAAGGTCAGGATGGACCAGGAAAAGTGATACCGTGATACCCATTCATCATTGAATCATGACAGCTGGACCTATGGACAATCGCGACATGCGACGTGTGACAGCAACTTCCGGCGTGACGAATGTGAAATGCATACAGTATGGTTTTAACATGAGAAAACTGCAGAGTGTCAATATCCAGCGATGTCCGTGAAATCACATCCAATCACCAAGGTATATAATGTGGGTTTACCCTAAGAGCAAATAATCCCCAATAGAGATAATACAGGTTTATCAATGGTTTATGAAATCTCACCAAAGATATACCAAGTTTCTTGTCGCATTTCACCCATCTTTGTCACTTCCACCTGATGCTTCAGTTGCGCCGCCAGCCAGCCGCTACTCACCACTCGGCCGTTCATCACGTGGATGCAATCGTGGGGACCCAACGAACAGAGGGTCATCTCTTGCCTCCCAAGGGGCTCATTGGGGCTGGGGATTTTATGCTTCTGGATCGATATTTTCATGGGATGCTCATAGAGAAATCAAGGGAATATTTAGTAGGGATTCTAACAAGGGTAAACGTTTACCGTTTGACCCGGAATCTCAGAGTTTGCTAGGAAAACCACCCACTCTTACAAGATCTCATAAGTAAATCTTCTACAAATGGTGCAATGTTCATACTGGTCGGGATATTAGATTACCAGAGGGTAGCAAAACCAAAAAAATATTTCATATAAAATTTAAAGTAGAATCCAAGTCCAAAATTTATGACGTTCTATCTTTTGGGTGGTTGCTATACACAAAACATACATTTAACCATTTATCATTTAACCTAACAAACTTGGGGACTTTGTTTGCAACTACTTGGGGCAAGTGATTCCATTGAGTTGATTGAAGGAACGTTTTCAGGAAACCATGATTTGCAGATGGTTTTACATGGTTTTACAATTCAAGAAAAAGGGTTTGCAATGTTACAAATTTGGGAATCAATGATGGTGTTTTCCTGCCCAAACTTCTGGACTGTCCTGAAAAAGGTTTACGATTCTATGTGTTCCATTTTTGGTGTTGATACCCACTATCATTCAAAGCCATTGGGGATTGGCTGTGGCTCATCCTCGAATCCTTGAGGTTGCATTGACTGTTCCTTGAAAAAATCCTTTCCATGTTCGATGGTTTTCATGCAAGTCCTACAGAAAAACATCGAAAAACCATCACAGGAAAAACCAGCCCTGGACGAAAAATGACACATACCCATCATACCCCTTGATTTGAAGCAAATTGGATGGTTTCCCCCCTTTCCAACCCACCATAATGATCATATGATTTCTAGTGAATCACTGGGTGTTTTCTGGGTTCATGTTCAACCGAAAACCGGTAAGTTTCAAATGAGTTCAATCTTTAGTTTCTAGTCGTTGTACATCTTCCCTAACGACTCTCGAAATTGTCATGGGTCCAATATTCCAATATCATTCATTTTTGGAGGTTTCCTGACATGGGGTACCCCCATATCATCCATTTTTTTAAATATGTTCTTTTGTACACCATCCAGCTATTGGGGTACCCCCATGACTATCCATGACTCACATGACGATGGAAACCCCCATGACTACGTCAAGTCACAGTCGCGATGGGATCTCCTGCAGGTCTCCCTGACTCGCTCGGGCCAGGTGTCGAAGATTTGAGACTACCACGCCTACCATGGCTTCAGCTGGATAGATGTCCTGTTCATCAATCAGTTGGGGCATACCCCAAAATAGATAGAAACGTTCCATAAATAAACCTGGAAAATATTCAAAAAACATACCATATCTATAACATCCTGGAAACACGGTTCTATCTTTTTTGGGGATGGCATGGATTGACCTCAATGTTAGTATCAGCTGTCCAGGTGATGTGTCCCCCAACCATTTAATTCTACTGTGAAACTGCGGATTCGCCAATTGGATTGTCCATGGTTTTTCCGAATTTTTTCAGGTAGACCCAAAGATGATATAGCCCAACATTAAATCCCATTGCATCACATGAAATCCCCTTGTTTCATGGTTAGTTATACTGCAATGAGTCACCAAAGACTTCTCATATGATTGGCTCCTTATATCCCATGATTTTACTATGTCCCCAATTACCCTCTGGTGATTTGACACAGCTACATATGGGAAATGGCCTGTAGAAATAGATGATCAACATGATGATTTCCCTTTGAATTTGGTAATTTTCCAGTTCGCTACATTCAATAACCAGGGCGTAGCTTGACACAGTCCCCGAAAAAGTTCGAATTGTGTGTCTCCAGGAACTTTATCTCGTTATTTTAAAATAGTCATTATAGCTAATAATAGTTGTTAGTAACGTACATCAAGAAAACCATCATCCACTACTATATACTTACTATTTCGTCGTATACTAATCATGATCATCATCCACTACTATATCCTCAATTATATGAAACTTTTCCAAGTCATGGGGTCCCAGTCATGGATGATCATTTTTGAAACTTCAAACTACGACTTAGTGACCACTGGGGATCCACCATGTCACCATGACCTGTGGTGACGACTGAGAAAGCTCCTATATAATATCCTCATGACCTTATGATCTTATGTTACTTATGTTTGCTTCCCCACAATAAAACAATATAAAACATATTCCCTCAATCGATTCCCTATAGAAAAACAGCATTTCACATTGGCAAAATGGAAAAAAAAAAAACATCGGCTCAGCAAATCCATTTGGATAGTCGCCAACTAGCGTCGCTATTCCCAACTAGCTATAAACCTCGATTGATAGTGGAGTTTCCTATAGTTTTTCCCATGAATTCCCATGAAATCCCATGAAATCCCCGCTCCTTAGTGAAGCGCATCTCTGTGCCCAGCACCTTTGCACAGTCGCCCAGGGCAAAGATATGGCCAGAAGCCAAAGGAACGCCATCTCCTGCGCTTGACAAGGCTTGGTTGGTGTTATAATACGGACAGGAAATAAAACTTGGTTACATAAGTGGATTTATGGTGTTTATATTATTTTATATTCATATATACATGTGCAATGTGACGGAGTGTAATGTAGTGTGATATAACGTATGTTTATTCACACGTGCAAATGTATCTATTTATATAATACACATATAAATACGTATATGGTCCATACTGGTTCATATCAGCTAAGATGCTTTTGAACCATACCCCTTTCAACCTATGTATGAGCTAGTGACAACAGTGTCTATCTTGCTTAACGGCGGGCTTAACGGGTGTGACATACCGGGGCCTGTGATGTTTGTACCGTACCACATCAGATGATGAGAGTGTAATTTTTTAAAAAAAAACAGAGTAAAAACAAAATCCAAAATGAGAAATCTGTTCAAACACAGGTCATAACAGTCATAACAGTCATAACTCAATCTGTTCCCCCCTTTTTTCCCGCCTTCACGTACACACTGCATAGCGCGGTTGGTGCAGATCTGCCCAGTGGGATCGCCAGCTCCCAGCTTGGCCACGAGCTGCCCACCGGGAAAACGCACGCCCGCGCAGGGCAGCACCAGGGCTTCGTCGATGTTTAGGGCCTTGAGAAGCTGCTGCTGCTCCAAGGGCAGCTCTTCGCCAAGTCGCAGATCCAGTCCCTTGGCATCCAGCCACTTCCGAGCATAGTCCTGGGCATCTGGAGGTAACAGCGGTAGAACCTCTGCAGTGCGATCCACCAGGGTAATCCTGCAGGGTCCATCTTCGGTTGCGCCAAAGATGGTCCCTGAAAACTTAAAACTAGTCCTAGGTTCCCCATCCCTGGTGGAGTTACCAACGGAAAAATGAAACATCACCTTCAGCAAATCCAAAGTTCGTTGACACTTTGACACTTTGAAGTGGGATGAATAAAGGCAAGACCCATGCAAACCCCCTGCTGAAACAAAAACAAGAAGAGTAGTGATGCTTGAAATGACATGGTAAAAGGTAAAAATTAAGGACATGCAGTACAAAACATCATGATTCACACATAATCAATTTAGATGCACCATTGTCACTCACACATCTCCAGGAAGAAAGAAATACCTGTACTCAAAAGAATCACACACTGTAAGACTCACGCCATTTGTGGGACCTAGAAAAGTCAGCCATCCCAAAAAAAACAAACAGCTCAAGCACTTCCACACTTTCCAACATCCGACGTCCTCAACTGGGGAAAGTGTTCCACCAGTTCAGCTGCCAGCTCCACACCGACCAACCCAGCGCCCAGGAGCACCACACGTCCAGCTCTCGCCGCCCGTTCCGACAGCTGCTGCCGTGTCTGCTGCAGCTGCGCACGCCGCGCGGCTAAGGTTGTGGCGTTGCCGCCCTTCCACAAGGGCGTTCAGGCCTAGAATCAGTGGCTAAAAGATGCTAAAAGATGCTAGCTGAAGGCCTGAAGATGCCTGAAGGCAAGGAACATAACAGAAATTGGAAAGTCATGTGAGAAACTTATGAGAAACTTATAGGAAAAATCCTGCAGTCTGAGTCCTGAGACATCCACAATGCCGATGACTAAGTGACTAAGTGGCAATCAAAGTGGATTTTGTTGCTATTGGGCTCTACCGCCATACGGCCGGCTACACCTGGAAGAATGGTTGCCAAGTGGTTTTGTGAAGAGAGGCAAGACATACAAATGCGTCAACCATAACATGTTTCTTCATCTTTGAAACACGCATGATTCTTGAGTTTGCAAAGGAAAACCAGTTTCACAGGCATGGCTCATTGAAACACAATACCCAGCTGCATACTGAGAGCCCACTGCGATCACCGCGAAGTCGAAGTCCACTGTGTCCCGAGTTCCGTCTTCAAACGCCACCGAAGCACAGTGGGCATCCAATTCGATCACCTCACTGGGATGTCGGAGGTTTTTTCTGATCTTTGAACCACACTTATCTAATTGGTGGTTGAGCCACCCTGAAAAATATGAAAGTCAGATTCGATCATCATGCCAACTATTGGGGAAAAACATGTTCCAAACCACCAACCAGTTATTGATGGGATGACTGACGGATAGACGAAGTATCACTGTTGACTCCAGTGGATTCTAAGCAATCATAAACCTGGCGATAAAACATTCTAGAGAAACCAAAAAAATGAAGTTTGAATTGGCGCATCATGTGGTTATGGGCTAAATCACAGTCATCTGGTTTTAGTAAATACGTATATATATATATATATATACATATATGTATGCATACTGACTGATTCATTGAAATGATGATCCAATCAATGTTTCTTTCCCCATGAACTGTATGAACTCTATGGGTTTTTTTTGATGTTTAGTTTTGGAAACACTGGCAAAACAATTGTAGAATAAAGGTGTTCCACCCAATTGAGGCCACATTATCCCAATAACCCCTCAAACCTCAGTGACACTTCAAACCCATCAACACCAGCCTGGCCCTCCCGGCACCATCCGGCACCTGCCCCCTCAGGTGCTTCACCGCCATCCCCCGCAGTGCATCTTCCAACGTCACTTGCAAAGTCTCCATGTGCTTCTCATCGCAAAGGCCACGCAGGATGCCAGGCGTGAACTCGTAGTAGTCCTGTGGAATATAACATGATGATGGGGATGTAACAATCCGGGATGTACAGTAAAATGGTTATATCATATAATGGGATATAATTATGGGATATTATTTCTTGGGGAAAAGTACTGAAACATGTGTGTCCGACAAAGGTCATGGAGTTAGTTGACTAGTTAGTAAATGGACATTTTCTGAGGGGGATATAGTGGGCTATAACGTTATAACATGTTAAAACCCACTTACTAACCAATGAGCCAATGAGCTATTCCCATGGCCCCTCAAAGTATGTCGTGTGTGTGTGTAACATCTAAACAGATGTAAAACTTCTCTTTTTTTCTTCCTTCCGTCCTCTCCCTTTCTAAATAACGCAGGGGGCAGTGACAGAGTCTGTGGGATCACTGCCAACGAAGACGCCCACATTCTCTGGTGATGCATCGGGAGACGTCCTGATGTGTACCTGCAGAACTCAGTTTGAACTGTTGAACAAGCTGTCATGTTGCTGCACTGTTGTCGCAATCTGGGGCCAAGCTTAGAGAAGAACTTCCATTATTCGATATTATTCGTGGGATGCATCGTTAATGTCATTGTTTCGTATCTAATCTGCATGTTTCAGGATTCAGTTCCTGCCGGATCATATAATGATCCATTCTTGTCTAGTGTGATTTCCATGGTGGCTCCGACATGGTGCCATGGAGCCATTGGAGGCAACCCTTTTCAGGGTGAATGATGACTGTCCTGACTTCCGAATTAACACATTTTAATTTGGTAATTCATTTAAGTAAATTGCAACAGCTGGCCTTGCCGTTTTCCAGCCTTTTAGGGTTGTCCCGCTGGTCCGTTGGTCCCAGGGTTCCTCGCCAAAATGCCTGTCTATCGGAGTGATGCCGTTCTGACCTTCCTGAAACCTCGTTTTTTACTGCAGTTTTTGCTTTCACAGTGACAGATTACTCATGACATGACATGAACGACAGGCAGGCACACGACTTTCAGGTGTGGTCTTTTTTCTTTTTGGTTGTCTGGTGGGGTCAAACATATCGTGCATCTAATTCGTTGGAACTTGAAAGCTGTTTTATGCCCTTGTGGCTGACTGGAACACGGGCCTGGAGTGGCATAACGCACGAACCCTAGGTTTAGGAGCTGAATCCTGTTGTTTAACTAATTGTTTTGGTTTCCTTGTCTGTCACCAACTAGTCCCCCATTTGGTCCCTAATTTTCCCCGCGTGCTTCTCCGTAATGTGTCGTGGGGTTTAGGTGTGTGCGCTGTTTTGGTCGGGTGTGTGTGTGTGTGTGTGTGTAACATCTAAACAGATGTAAAACTTCTCTCTTTTTCTTCCTTCCGTCCTCTCCCTTTCTAAATAACGCAGGGGGCAGTGACAGAGTCTGTGGGATCACTGCCAACGAAGACGCCCACATTCTCTGGTGATGCATCGGGAGACGTCCTGATGTGTACCTGCAGAACTCAGTTTGAACTGTTGAACAAGCTGTCATGTTGCTGCACTGTTGTCGCAATCTGGGGCCAAGCTTAGAGAAGAACTTCCATTATTCGATATTATTCGTGGGATGCATCGTTAATGTCATTGTTTCGTATCTAATCTGCATGTTTCAGGATTCAGTTCCTGCCGGATCATATAATGATCCATTCTTGTCTAGTGTGTGTGTGTGTGCGTAAAACCCGTTATGTCATACGGATTTCGTTCATTCAGCTAGAGCAGGGGGCCTGAGACTTCTCAACAGGACTCAGGCCAACGAAGACGCCTGTTGAGAAGTGTTTAAATCATTCTGGGACGCCAGAATGACGTACCTGCCAGCCGATTTCTCGGAATCAGGCGTCCTCAAGTTCTACATTCCTCAGCAACCAACAAACCTAAGCAGTGTGTTTTGGGTGAACTCACTGACTTGTGAGCACCGTCGATCTGCTTCGTACGGGTCTAGATCTGGTCACCGGCCACTCCGGTGGATAATGGAATGTCCGATTGGGACAATCTGGATTTGACATGGCTGATGTGTCAACCATTGGATCCCTCCTCTTGGAGTTAAAGGGTATGACAAGTTGTCATCACACATCTGTGGATTAATCCCGTGGAAGGATGAATTAGTCCCTTGGCTGGACACAGCTCAATCCCCATGTGGGATGGATGAACCCAAAAAGGGTATCTTTCTCTTTTGTCTCACAAACGTCGCAACCTCAGAGTTGTCAAAACAAGCCCGAAAGTTCAATAGATTCACTTTCCTTTTTTCTGAGTCGCTTAGTCGCCATCCTTCGCCAACCAAACCGTGTTCAACTGCAATGTCATTTTGCAATTTCTTGTTTACTTGCTGAATGGCTTATAGAATACGCTTACCAAGAAAAGTTCGCTTTTCAGATGTTAATGAATCCTTCCGTTGGTACGAAGCTTGTCTTCAGAGTAGCTCACACTTTTCACAATAACAGTGTCAATTCGTTCAGCCATGTTTCCCTCCGGTGCGTTTCCGAAATCGATGGGACCGCCACACCTTGTGACCCACCTCTTAAGTTGGGCCACTCCAGCAAGTCAGCGTAATCTTGTAGAAGCCAGTATTCATTATCGCGGATTTAGTGGAGAATATGAGTTTCTCGAGTTCCTAGAGGAGATTGCTTTGAAATTGCACATCGTGTTCTTCAAGGTGATCAGGAACTTCAGATGCGTAGATTGCAGATTCAGGATTACGAATGTCAGATGGGTCTGCTGCAGGCTCAAAACCAGTTGTATCAGATGCAGTTCATGTCACAATATTTGCAAGTCATGACAAGTCCGAGCCATAATCTTTCGAAATTGGCGGTATCAGAATCTCAGAGTCGGGTGGAAGATCGTATAGACGGTCACGGTCAAGACCTCGGATTACGGAAGGACGATCACGATCAAGACGTCGTGGTGCGAATGATAACCGGAATGATC